CGTAACTCAAAACTGAGATGGATCCGCCGGGGATCGCGCTGGTCAGTGGCCCTGACTGAATCGAGGCGACCTGCTACCTGTTGCTACCTCTTGCAATGAATTATTTTAATGACGAGAGAGAGAGAGCCCCTTCGACGGGGATCCTGGGCATGCGTAAGATGCGCCGCCGCCATGTCCCGGTCCAGTTCAAGTGGAACCAGTTTCCCTGCATTTCTCAGATCATCAGTGCGCGCAGCCATTGGGAGTTGCGCTTGCAAGCACAAAATTACCAAAAGAGAAGATCTGAAAGGTACCAAAAAAATATAATAAAGTAAGCAAAACGTGCGTGAGGCTTAAGACTGTTCGTTAAGCGGATTTTATCGACGATCTGGCAGAAATTTCTCCCAAAAAAAGGGGCCCTTTTCCCAAAAACCAAACTCTTTTTCGGCCACAATTACGTCGATTTGCAATTTGGGAGGCTGTACGCGCCACGAATTCCGCGATCAAGCCAACCGATTTCTCGTGCGAATAATTCCATTTGGCACATCATTTTTGGGCAGAGAGAAAAGCCCAATTACCACACGCGAAAAAATATAAGGAAAAAATATTCCCTAACGTTTTAAATAAATTAAGAAATAGATTTCTTCCTTTGAATATTTTCCAAGTTGTAATTCCCAAAAGCAGATGCAGACTGGGTTTTACCTTTCCCCAAAATCCCAGCCTCCGAAAAGCAATTAAAAACTGATTGCCTAGGTGGAGTTGGAAGTCTGAGCGAGTCTGGATTTGGATTTGAAATTGAGAAAAATTGAAAATTCAGTTCCTGGCTGCGACAGACATAAGATACTGCCCAAGTTGGGGGTGCACACCCTAAACGTGTATCTCAAAATTTGATAACCACACCGGCAGTGTCAGTGGCAGTGGCAGTTGCCATTGCAGTTGCAGCTGCAATTTCAGGTTGCAGGCCACAGAATACGGATGCTTGCCGGGATATGTATGCCGAAGATTGCGTTCGTGTTTGCGTTTGGCAATTGCAACTCAATTGCGCATTTGCCACCGCAAGCATCAATATCTGGCATAGGCGTAGTCCTAGGGGCCATAATCACGTCTCTGGAGCCAAGGAATCCGGGAAGGCCCAGGCTGAAGCTGAAGCCGAAGCCACTCCCCCCCAGAGACACCAACTCGCACTCCCTGCGGCCAATTTAATTGACAGATTTAGTGGTGCTCGATTGGCAGTGCGGAAAATTAGTTTTCCGTCTCCCAGAAGCTGACTTTCTGTGGCGCCGTCGCATTTAATTGTTTTATAGACACTCGAATCCCAGAGCCATGTACAAAAGCCCACCTATCTATCTATCTATCTATCTATATACGCCGCAGCCATGTCTATGTATCCGGCAGATGCGAGTGGGTGTGTGTATAGTACATCATACTGGCTAGGTGGAACACGCCCCTGACAAACACGCACGAAAATAGATTTAATTAAATGGCGAATAAAATGCGTGAGTTGCTAAGCGAAGGGGGACGCGGACACATGTGTGCCAAGCCATCCAATTAATCGATGGCCAATCGATTTCTCTTCTCGATTTTCGGTAGCTTTCGCCCGAAAAGGGTTCCTGCCGTGTGTCCTTTTTTATTTCTTAGAAAAGGAAATTAATTTCCGGTTGACCCGGTGACGATATTAATGATGCCTATAAATCGGAGGGAACAAAGTAGAAGTTTGTTATGGTTATTAACTCAGAAGAAAGTTAGAAAGTAAAATTAAACATTTTTGGAGTCAATTTTTATTTAAAATTTTACTCCTGTGTTCCATCTGATTTTAAGAATTCTCGTTATTCCCTACGTACACTCAAATTCCCAGTAATCGAGGCCCATCTAAATATTTGTACCTTAGGGATACCAGGAATAGGCCAAAAGTATCTCTTCTGAGTGCCACTAGAAATTCCAGGAGAGGAGCTCCCCATTTCGGGAACCGAATCTCATCTGAATAGCACGTGACGATGACAAAAACAAAACATAAATTAGAAAGAGTGAGATATTGGGGAAGCCAAAAAACAAAATCGAATTAGATATAAGTAGTTGTCTCGCACACAGATACAGATACACATACCCATATCCAGTAGATACATATATATTCTATTATAATAGAAGCATAGATCACACGTTGTGCCGCATGCAACATGGAGTCTCAGCGTCACCTGGAGATTTATTGCCGCTTGCAACGCTCCGAAAATGGGGGTTGTCCAGATGGAGAGAGGGAGGGAGGGAGAAAGACACGCCCAGAGCGAGACAAGTATAGATATCGCTCCGTTTCGGTTCAAAGTTCGCTGCAAATGGGAAACACGTAAACTGTCAAAACTTTAAATCCCTGAGGAATTTAAGTTAAAAAATATAACACGTACTGGGGACTTGGGCACAGCTGCGCTACCCGAAAAAAACGAAAATACAAAAAATACAAGAGAGACGACAAAACCTTGAAAATGTATCTTCGGGGCGAAGAAAAACCAGGGAAGGCCCCCATGGAAAGCCAACTGGAACAGAATAAGTATTCGAAAAAAAAAGATTTCCTCCTCCTCATCCATCCTCATTGCGCCCTCAGCCTGCGCCTCCCCCTTTCGGCTCGTTTAAATTATCTACGAGAAATTTCGCGCCTTGCCATACAAAGTTTTATTGTACCGCATCCACGCCCCCCTCGGCCCGCACATACCAGCATTTAAATTATGTACTTAGAAATACACAAAAATTTTCCAAAAGTCTACAAAAGAAAATGGCACAGCAGAGCAGAGCACAGCAGGACGTAGCGAAAGAAGCAGAGAGCGAGCCAGCAAAATGAATTTCGCACTTTTTCGCATAATAAATTTGGAAACTTGGCCAGCACTGGAAGAAAAAAATCTAAGCGAGGAGAAAAAAAAATGCCGAGGCAAAGCAAAGTTTCGTAAAAAGTTTATTTTTGCATATACAAAGCAGCGGCAGGGCAGGGGATGAAGTAGGAATAGTCGACTGCCGAGTGACAAATTCCATTTAAAATTGCCGAGCAAAGCTCACGTTCACGTACTACTACTCCTCAAGGCGTACATCCTTCTCCTCCTTGGCGAACTCCTAAATAAAATGAAACTTTTCGCTAAACCTCAGCGTGATGTATTCCAGGAGAAGAACGCCGGCAAAGGGAGCACGACTCTGCCAGGGATTTAAGTTAATCAGCAAACAGGTTTAGAGCTAAATAAATTTATTTATGCCCTTTACGCTTTTTGTTTTCTGCTCGCTCACAAGTGTTGAGGGGGGGGGGGAAAGTGGGTATCCCAAGTTTACTTGAGCATTCTTGGAGGGAACCATCTTGGTTTAATTGAAATTCCTATAACAGATTAAATAAATAATTTTGGGTATAATTCCCTTTAAGCTGTTCAGAGTGAGCAGGTTGAGAGAAAAAAGTAATTTAGAGTCCTTTAAAATATTTTGCTGTATCTCTTGAGTCATTTCAAGAGTTTATTAATTATTTTTATTACTTTTACGATACCTAAAAGGCAATTTTAATAATAAATATTATTTTAAAACAGCCATAGTTGCTTGAAAAATATACTTACATTTATTTTTATTGTTTCGGCTGGATACACCGATTCCAATTTCCAACAAATTGCCACAAACTGACGCATCGCAAATCTTGTGGCCTGTCACTGGCCAATTTTCTCGCACATTAAATCGGTGTTTATAATTCTCGCAAGGCATTTATAAAAATAAAGCCCCATTAAGCAAATTTATCTGGGCATGTTGTGTGCAAGAGCCTATATAACATAGCCTCCCCATATAGACGATAATTTCTTTGTTTCGGATCCTCTGACCATTTTATTTCGCATTTCATTTTTATAGACTATAAAATTTTTTCGCCATTTATTTGCACACCCACACAGTTGCACTGGTAATAACGATACGAGTACCTGCGTGTGTGAGAGTGAAAGATAAATGCGTTTTCACTTTATGACTTTCGTGTCGGCATAAATTTGTTAATACCTTTAGGCCAAATTTATAACATAATAAATGCTCATAATATTTAACTTAACATTGTGCCCAGGCCCAGCCAGGGAGAGAAAGACCGAAATGCGAAAGTCAACATGGATGTGTGGCATGGCGATAAAATCAGACATCGTCTGGTTCTGCTCAAGCATCAGGTGGACACCAGAGGAGGGTTGGGAGAGGGAGGGATGCAGCTGGAGCTGGAGTGCACACACGAAATTGAGTTATTGCACTTGAAGGCAAATTAAACTTCATAAATATTTAAAATCAGAGATTAAACACGGCATTGTGCTGCTGACTGAGGGCCCTGCTCTGCGCCAGCCTCTCGTGTTGCCAATTAAAGAGGCATTATCTGGCATAACTGCTATTTAAGTAGCCACATTCGCAATCTCCCCAGTGCCGAATGCTCGCACGTTTCTCCTTTCAATTTTAATGTTTGCTGCTGCAATGACAGCACAGCAGCAGCAGCAGCAGCAGCAACATTGTCGGTGCAGCAGCAACATCCAACATCGAGTCTTGCGGTGCAGCGGCAAACGATCAATTTAAAGTAACGATCTCGATCTCGGCGGAGAAACAAAAACCACAACTGCAAATGGCAAATGGCGATACTCGTAAAAATGAAATGTATTTCTTTTTTTTCCTGATTTTACTCTACTCCTGAAGATTTCCTTTCCTTTCCTTGGCGCATGTTCCGGCCTACGTTCGAGCTGCTTGATGATTGCTGGTAAAAAAGCAGAATTTATATTTATGACTTTGGCTAAAAAGACAACAGCGAACAGCAAACAAATGCTGAGCAGCTCGTTGCAATTTTTCAATTTAATTTGCAGGATGAAAGGCTAAAATATAAATACGGCCACGTACATTTTAAATGGGATTTCAGTATAATTAACATCTTTTTATATATCCTTAGTGTACTTTGTCAATGTTTTTTTAAAAAGTGGATTTTTAAATTAAAAAATACCTTGATAAACTTAAAATTTCACCTATTAATTCAAAATTTGATCTTCTCTACTCCACAGGCACAAATGGTCTGCGAAGACGCGGCCGGCAGACATACACCCGCTACCAGACACTGGAGCTGGAGAAGGAGTTCCACACGAATCACTATCTGACCCGCCGGCGGAGAATCGAGATGGCGCATGCGCTGTGCCTGACGGAGAGGCAGATCAAGATCTGGTTCCAGAACCGACGGATGAAGCTGAAGAAGGAGATTCAGGCGATCAAGGAGCTGAACGAGCAGGAGAAGCAGGCGCAGGCCCAAAAGGCGGCAGCGGCAGCGGCTGCGGCGGCGGCGGTCCAGGGCGGACATCTAGATCAGAATTAGGACGAATTGGGATGCAGATACGCATGTGCTGCAGTTACGGATGCAAATACAGATACAGAATACAGATACAAAGCAACTATATATTGTAACAAATGAACACTATTTACTTAAATGAATAATATTTAAAAATATTTTGATGGTACTTGTGCGAATACGAAACTTAACCTAAATCGAACCTAATGGAATTATTTCAAGAAGCGTTTGAGCAGCAACCGAAAATACGTAAATGAAGGCAAACCTACAAACTAATTAACTAGGCTAAGTAAATGAAAGTAGTGGAAATGAACCTACTTAGACGTAATCGAGGAAAACCACAACCTTTTTTAATTTAGTTCCAAACGAATGAAAACAATGTAGAAATTCGCAAGCGTAAGATTTATGTTTAGACCCCGTAGAGAGATCATCATCGCTCGAAATCGAACCCCTGTCCTGCCCCCTTTGTTGCTTACTGCTATGTTTAAATTAATTTTCGCAAGAAATACTCAAAAATTAAGAAAAGAACTAAAAAAAAATGTACGAATAAAATGTTGAACGCAAGCAAAATTCTGTTGATATGAATTTTTGGTTAAAACCAGTTTTAAACCAATCTAAGATACGTAACAAAGGAAACAAAAAACAACAAAAAATCGAAAACTATTAAACTTTAACTTAAACATAAATAGAATTTGTTAGCAAAGTAAACATATTACAAGAGTTTGTCGGAGGAGGATCGATTCGGATATTTGAATGTGTGTATAGTTTGTGCTTATCGAATAAAATAATGCAATTTTAGTTAACTCTGTTTATTTTTAAACGAATTTGTTTAGTTCTCGCCCAAAACGACTAAAGTGAAGCTGTTTCTTTAAGTAATGTGTAGTGTGTTTACCTTTTAAATTAAATTAATGATTAATTTTATTATTATTATGTTTAGTTTAATGACAAAGCGTTTATGAGATTATCTGACAGAAGCGACGAGGAGATACAAACGGCAAACGCCAAATAAATTATTGGTTTTGAAAAAATCTAAACAAAAACTGAAAAAAAAAAAACAACAAAGAGAAAAACAAATTCAATTATTGTGTTATTATTTTAGTTCTGCCATGGCAATTTTCCGTTCCGTTCCGAGTTGTTTGAGGGCTTGAGAGTGCTGGCATGAGAAATTGCTTTTGATCTCGTTCCGTTAATTGATCGTAAGTTGTACGCCCTAAGGCGATACCCCATACCGATACCGATATCGATGCCGATAACGATACAGATAACGATAACGATAGCGATACCATATATAGTTTAGTGGATGTGGATCCAGCGAGCTGTGCTCCGCGCCTCCCCCGAAACTTGATCCTTCAGTTGAGTTTCCGAACTTATCCCAGTTTGGGGGCCATCCGAAACGATGCCCTGCACAAGATGTATACGTAACTAGAGCCTAAGATCCGAATATAGATATACATATATATATATATATATATAAATCTTGATATATATTTATGTATTTATATGTGGAAGTCGAGTATAAAAGCGGACAAACAATAAAAAAGAGAGAGTAATTTCTGCGCAACGGAGGCGGATGCAAATACGTAAATAAGAATAAGTTAAATGTTATAGATTTTAAACGTAGCCCAGATACGTTAATGTACACATACACTGAGCGAAACGAGACGTGTGAGGCGCAGCAGGAGGAGAAGCGTGGACCGCCACCGCAAACCAAGAATAGACGCTAAAATACAATACTTAAAGATTTAAATGTGGATTATCGTAGCAACAGATATACGTAAATAACTCTCTCCGATCCGAGATTGGGATTACCACTTTTCCTAGAACTACCTACAGATACTTTGCAGCTACATTTTCTACTCGTATCCCCCCTCCCCGCATGAAGATTGGACCCCGCAGCTCCGTTTATACTTAATCTATGTAACTCTAATTTAAAGCCATTCTATGTTAGCTCCGTAAGTTGTAAATTATCAATATAAACTATACGTAAAGAGAAACAAACACAAAACAAACAGCAACCAGTGAGAATGTGGAAAATGAAACAAATAAATTAAACGAAACGATTTAAACAATTTATGAACTGCCTTTGAAATCGGAGAATTAAATGGGTCTGGAATAATTGCTCTGATTGTAGCAGAAAACTAAGAGAGGAAGCAAAATTAAATCAATTGAATTATTTTTCAAAAATTTCAAATATTTTCCCTTCACATATCTGCTCAAACTTGGAAAATAAGAAAGAAGAAAGTTTTTTTTCAGTGTAACAGCAGCTCGTCCAAGCAGAATCTAATTAGAATAATAAGTTCAATGAGAACTTCACAGTGGCACCACCTAGCGGAATACCAAGTGAAACGGTCGACGATCTGGTACTTTTGGTGGCTCAAACCGCAAAGTCTGGCAAAGCTGGTCGCTCTTGCTCCGACGATCTGGTACTTTTGGTCGCTTATGAACGAAAATCCTGGCAACGCACCAGTGCTGCCAGACTTTTCGTTGCTAAGAATTGTAACGGATAAAAATGCAATTAATTACAAGCCGGTAGAAGCCAGATTGGATTCTTTATGTGCTCTAATTGTGGGATTTAAAAGCCATATCATGCCTAAGCGATACGAAGTGTTTTTAAGAATTTTTGATTCCCGCTGAGTGGCGGGCAGAAGGGAGGCGGTGGCTCTGGCTCTTGGGTCTTGAATAGGAGTCTAAGAGTCTCTGGGAGTCTCGTCTCTGAAGCTCAAGCAGAAACAGACAGACGGCGGCATCTATTTGGACATTCAACTTTGGGGAGCGGAGATGGAGACGATGGAGGTGGAGAGCCTGAAAAGCGATTCCGGAGACTTCGTTAGAGACTTGAAAGCCAAAGACTTACACTTACAGAAAAATATGGGGCTGGGATTGGGTAGTTCATTTTGTATTAGGATTACAGAAAGGAACTAGGGAGAAGTCAGTGAAAAGGTTGACTTCTATGTAGAAAAACTAACAAAAAAGCTATTTTATTTGAAATTTTCGTAGTTAATTTCATTATCACTACAAAATTTATTAAATTCTTTAAGGGTTTTAAGCTAACTGAATCTCCAGCTTGGCTTTCGACAATTCGAGACTAAATTTAAACAAGTTACTGCATTCAAGAAGCCCTGAACTATTCTCTAGACTGGAAAAACATCGATGTTCAAATGGTTGTTTTTTCACGATTTTTAACATATTTTTTAAGATATTTATTAGTATAGATTTTTTTTAAATATGCTTCAAACAAATTAAACAAAAAAGCTTATGTTTAAAATCCTGTAGTACCTCTCAAATCCTTGTACCGCGAAACCCAAAATCTAACATCCAAAACCCACGAAAAACCCCATAAGATTGGAAACTTTTAAATGCTACCACAACTGTGAAAACCGACAAATTGAATCTTTGTGAAACGAGCTCGGCGCTCTTTATACGTGTTCCGCGATTGTTTTTATTATTAGATCGAGCTTGAACATACTCAACAGCTCAGTTCAGTTCCCTTTGTGAGCTCGCTCGGAGTCGTTCTAAGCGCGGCAGCACGTGCTCTCCCCCCGGTCTTAACTTAATCAGTACGCATTTAGTCTAAGCCTCTCACCTATGTGAGTGTCGTGTGCCCCAAGTGCATTACCAGTGCATTGAAAAGACTTGAGTCTATCCCTCGCATAATGCAGCTCAAATCGGGACTAACAAGAGGCCTCCTGTTCCTTTGCGCAATTTCGTTTAGAATCGGAGCAAGTGAGTAAAGTTCAAAATGATAATACAAATCGAACGAAAATAAACACTGCACATACCATTGGGGCCAGAATATGTATTGAGTATGCTGCTGGCTCCACACACATTTAGTATTTATACAAGCAAAGCTACTCTCTGAGAGCGTCCCCTCAAAACGAGATTTGAATCTCAAGCCGGTTCATCTTGAAGTCGCGCGACGCACTTGCACACATCTTTGTTTATCTCCGTCGATTCTCCCAGTGAAAAGAGAATAGTATCGCCAAAGTCGGGTTCAGTGCAATTGATTACGGAACTAAATAAAAATATAAACGTGATTCAATATATTTATAGCGACATTTACAACGAAAGTGTTTGAGAGGGAAAATTGCGGTTGTAAAGATCGATTTAAAGTATATTTAAAGTACATAAATGTGAAAAAATTATTAAGATTACTGTTCTTAATTACCATAAACAATTAGTCACTTCTGTGCGGGTCGTTCGTATACTAAATTTGCACTGTGAAAAAGACATCATTTTAACGCTCTTTCGTTTGCAGTATTAGCCGAATGTGAAGACACACAATTTGAGTGCGACAACGGCAGCTGCATCTCCTCCTATAATGTCTGCGACGGGGACAAGAACTGCCCGGACGGATCAGACGAGACGGCGCTGACCTGCATCTCCCAGCGGGAGCATTGCAACAAACCGTTCTTCCAATGCGCCTACGGCGGCTGCGTTATTGGTACTGCGGGCTGCAACGGAGTCCAAGAGTGTGCAGATGGATCCGATGAAACGCGGCTCCGTTGTGGGAACACCGACGATAAGAATCAGTTTGAACGTCGCATTCAGGGCAATTGTCAGTAAGTATAAAATTGGGGAATATGATTTTTTAAAAATTAGGTAATTTTAAAATTGTAAAAACAAAGAAATGTAAAAGATTTCAAAATTCGCTTTCAAGGCTTTCAAGATGAGAAGTAATATATTTCTAAAAAGCTTAAATTGTATAAAAAAATTCATGCCTAAATATATATTTTTTATATTTCCAAGAAAATTCCATTTTTACATGAATGTAATTATTTGTTAATAATGAAAACCCACTTTCCAAATTCTTGCTTATAGGGAAGATGAGTTCAAGTGCCCGTCCGGAATTTGTCTGGACAAGACCACTTTTCTGTGCAACGGCAAGGACGACTGTGCGGATGGCTCTGCCTTTGACGAGTCCGTGGAACTTTGTGGGCACATATACTGTCCCCAATACTCATTTAAGTGCGGCACCGGCAGCTGCATTGCCGGTTCGATGAAATGCAACGGTGTAAACGACTGTCATGACGGATCTGATGAGGCTCCGCTGCTCTGCAACACCACCAGGAAGATATCAAGTCCAGTTCCAGTCACCGTAGAGATTCCGCAGTCTCAGGAGGGCTGCCCATTGCCGCTTGGCGATGAGCGTCCCATCATAAAGGGTACTGGCGGTCGTATCCTAACCGGACCCATCACCCACGGACTTGTGAAATTCTCCTGCGAGAGGGGGCATGTGCTTGAGGGCGATACATCTAGCTATTGTGCCAATCGGAAGTGGGGTAACTCCTTGATTCCGAAATGCGTGAGTGAGTTGCCTGTCTATCAAGTCTTGAGCCCTGACTCCTTGCAAGGATATATTAACACATTTGTATAAACCTCTAACCACAGAATACTGCAACTCTACGGGCGAATTTGAAGGATACTCAACGAACGCCTTGTGTACCTATGCCGGCCAGAGGGTGGATTGTAAGAAGCCCTACCATCCACCCGGCACCGAGGTGCAGTTCGTCTGCGCCAACGGCTTCAAGGCTGACGGACCTCTGCCGGACATGAAGTGCATGCGGGGCGGCTACTGGAACCGTCAGCGCCAGCGCTGCCAGCAGGAATGCGGCCAGATTGCCACGCCCACCAAGAGCTTCTCGGCCAACGGCTACACCATCAACAACACTGTGGTGCCTTGGCATGTGGGACTGTAAGTGAAATAGTATTTACATAGTTTTAAATATTAATTAAGCTCTTTCCTTCAGGTACGTTTGGCACAACGAAAGGGACTATCACTTCCAGTGTGGCGGATCTCTGCTGACACCGGACCTCATTATCACCGCCGCCCATTGCGTATACAACGAGGGCACCCGCCTGCCATACAGCTTCGATACCTTCCAGGTGATAGCGGCCAAGTACTACCGCAACTACAATGACACTACGCCCGACGACCAGATACGCAATGTGACCTTTATAGACATAGCGCGGTGAGTAGTAAAGAGTACTTGCGATTATCCCTGAATCATTTTATTAATAACTGATTGATTTTCCAGTGGCTACAAGGGACGTATTGAGGACTTTTATCAGGATTTGGCCCTGCTTACCCTCAACGAGCCCTTTGAGCTTAGCCATGTGATCCGGCCCATTTGCGTGAAATTCGTGAGCTTCGCGGAAAAGGAGAGCGTCACTGACGATCGGCAGGGCAAGTTCGCTGGCTGGAGCATCGAGGACAGGCACGAGCTGCAGTTTGTGCCGGCTGTTTCCAAGGCGAACATCCTGTGCCGGCAGAGTCTGCGCGACATCAAGTCGGACAAGTTCTGCATATTCACGCAGGGCAAGTCCCTGGCCTGTCAAGGTGACAGTGGCGGAGGGTTTACCGCAGTGCAGGAGACCCTCGAGTTCTCGGGCCGTTCAAGCACCCGCCACTTCCTTTTCGGAGTGATCAGCAATGCCCCCAATGCGGATCAGTGCGCTCACAGCCTGACCGTGCTGACCAACGTCCAGCACTTCGAGGACATGATACTTAGTGCGATGAGCAAGAGTGTTAACACACGATCTTAAGCCGCATACTAGAATAATAGCCATATGTCCCTTACGAATTTAGCCCTAACGTCCAATAAAACTAGTCTCAGGAAGTGGGCCGATTTTCAATTTCATAAATATGCTACGTTTTAATTGGTTGATATTTCTAGCAGATTAAAACATAAAACATATTGGAACTTGGTTTAGGTTTCATTATGTAGATATTTGTTAAAGTTTTCCGTGTTTTACACTTGTTTTGGCAGCCAGAATGTAAAAGTAAAAAGTTCAAATCAACCGCCATATACTCATCCCTAATACAATCGATCATTTTGGGGTCGACAAACAATTAAAGTTAAACAAATACTATGACTCATACACAAAAAGTTAACGAAATCCACAAAAATGTCGCGAATTTACTGCGGCTACAACCCGCCGCCTCCCGGTTTCAAGACCTTCTTCTCGGAAAAGTATGAGGACCGCCTGAAGCGGCTTCCCGGCTTCGGAAAAATGCGAAAATCCTGGGATTCCCACAGGCGGCCAACGCTCATTTTGCTCCATGTATTTGCCGATGACTTTGGAGCCCTGGAGAAGTGGATGGAGATGGCTTACCAGGTGGCAGACCCCGATGATCTCGGTCAGCTGATGGACTTTTACGTGGACGATATGTGGGCGGCGTATATATTCAACGAGGAGGAGTTCAGCTTCTTCCGTAGCGATGAAGGGTGCTTTGTGGACGGGCCCCCGCTGATTTACGGGGTGACTGCCTCGGGCGAAGTGTTCTTCTTTGGCGAGTTCTCAGGACCCAAAGCCCCAGATGTGGAAAGTCTGAAGGTATTCTGCAGGCAGGTGATAGAGGGAAATGTGGAGGAACCCATTAGCCGGAAGTCCCAAGTGGAACATATAGACCTGGCCCATTGGAACGAACTGATTTACGCCTCCGATGAAGATGTAGCAGTGTTATTTTACAATTCCCTGCAGAATGGCACACAGGCGAACGATGCCATAATGCAGAGTCTAAGCAGACTTGGTGATTGCCTTAAGCAGGAGGCAGTGCGTCTGTACAAGATGGACCTACAGGGAGGGAGTGCCCCCAAAAAGTTCAGCGTGGAGACGACACCTGCCTTCTTCTTCCTAAAAGGGGTCCAAAAGCAGAATCCCATCCAGTGCAAATATAAGCTAGGCCCATTTACTATGCTAAGATTCGTGGCCGAAACTGCCAGCCAGGAGCTGAACTATTATAACCGACTTGGTCACCGTAGGCTCCATGCGGAACTGCTCGCCCACATGAAGGAATATTTTGATTTGAGGAGCAATAAGCAAGGGTTTTTTATGTGAATGTTTCCTCTGACGCGTTGGGTTTATATAAATTCAAATATTTTGCGCCAAATATATCTATCGCCCGAGAACAGGGATGATTTGTTTAAAGGTTTTTTTTTATCGAAATGCTGAAATTAACAACAAATAGCTTAAAAGACAATAAAATTGCCGTTTTCTTGGACCACAGAAAACTAATTGACGAATCCTATGGCGACTTTAAACTTCGAACTGAGCTTTTTCAGTTTCAAGCCAAGAGGCAGGCGCAGGAGGACGGCGAAAAGCGCTCAAGGAAACGGAAGAGGAAAGCCGGCGAGGAAGACACTTCATCATCGGAGGACTTGCAGCTTGTCAATCGGTATTTAAGGCTCCTGCCCAAGCCCCTGGTCCCGGATGTCACTCCCCCAATAGCCAGGCATTGGGAGGATTCGTATAATCTGCCTCAGCTCCATGGAGCCAACGAAAGCGGCAAACTACAGCGGTTCCAGTGCCCAGATGATACTGGAAGGGTTTACCTCATTCCCGACAGAGCCAGCTTCTACAACCACAATGTGGACCAACTTCCAGCACTGCTGCCCCAACTCCTGCCCGCCTACGACCTCATTGTGCTGGATCCGCCCTGGCGTAATAAGTATATCCGTCGACTGAAGCGGGCCAAGCAGGAACTCGGCTACGCAATGCTACACAATGATCAGCTGTCGCTCATTCCCATTTCCCAGCTTACGCACCCGCGATCTTTGGTGGCCATCTGGTGCACCAATTCAGCGCAGCATCAAACGGCCCTGGAGCAGCAACTTCTGCCCAGCTGGCACCTCCGACTGCTTCACAAACTACGCTGGTACAAGCTCACCTCGGACCACCAATTGATTTCCCCTCCGCAAGCCGATGTAACCCAGAAACAGCCCTACGAGATGCTCTATGTGGCCTGCCATGCCGATGCCCCTGAGAATTACGGTGAGGAAATCAGGAACACAGAGATGCTGCTCAGCGTTCCCAGCATTGTGCACTCCCACAAGCCGCCTCTCCTAGACTGGCTAAGGGAACACCTTCACCCGAATGAGCCCAACTGTCTGGAGTTGTTTGCCCGTTATCTGCAGCCGCACTTCACCTCCGTCGGCTTGGAGGTTCTCAAGTTGATGGACGAGAGGTTATACAAAGTGGGTAAAGACGAACCCAAAAATATATAATTTTAATAATAACCATCAAAACCACTATGAGTTTTAACAATTTTATTTGTGTGTACTGTTAATGAGAGCAAATGCAAAGAATTTGTGTGTGTGTGTGGGCAGCCCGGAGACGAGTTAACAGCCGCGGGAGGAGGCAGCATTATCGACCGGGCCCAAACTAAATGTTAGACATTTGAAAGTGGCGTGTGTGTTTTTTGTTTTCTTTTGGGTGTTAAATTAAGTATTAAAGGATAGTAAGCATTATTAATACACGTGGTTGATCGCAGGCTACTACTCCTGGCCCTGGGCCATGGCGGCCGGGTTGGTCGGCTCGTTGCCGCCGCGCTTCTTGGATCCGGAGACGATGTCATCGATGCGCAGCAGGAGGATGGCCGTCTCCACGGCTGTCTTGTACGTCTGCAGCTTGACGGCCAGCGGCTCCCAGATGTTCTTCACGTTCATGTCCACAATTTCGCCGGACTCGCCGTCGATGCCCCAGGCGCAAACGCTGTCGCCGGTGTGAGAGGCGTGCTTGGCACGCAGAGCGGTCAGGGCGCGGATCGTGTTGGCTCCGCAGTTCTGGGCCAGCGTGCGCGGTATGATTTCCAGGGCATGGGCCACCGCCGTGTACGGGCCCTTGACCTGCTTGCGAGTCAGCAGCTGGGAGGCGGCCATCTCAACGGCTCCGCCGCCGGCAACCAGACGTGGCTCCAGCACCAGGTTGCGAGCCACGTGCAGAGCATCCTGCAGGTTACGCTCCGTCTCGTTGAGGATATCCTTGCTGGCACCGCGCAGCAGGATGGTGCAGGCCTTGGGGTCCTTGCACTGTGTCACGAAGGTGAAGTACTCGTCGCCAATCTTCTTGACTTCGAACAGCCCGGCGCCCGTGCCCACATCCTTCTCGGTCAGCTCCTCGGTGCGGTTGACAATGGTGGCACCGCAGGCGCGAGCAATGCGCAGATTGTCCGTCTTGCGCAGACGACGGATGGCAGTAATGCCGGCCTTCAGCAGATAGTGCTGGGCCAAGTCAGAGACACCCTTCTCGGTGAAGACCAGATCCGGCTTCACGGCAATAATGTCCGCACAGATGCGCTGCACAAACTCCTCCTCGATCTGCAGCATGCGGGTAAAGTCCTGCTCCCCGATAATCTCCACGTTGGTCTGGCTCTCACCCTTCTTGTACTCCAGCGAGCAGTCGAGCAGCACGATGCGGGGGTTCTCGATTAGACGACGCATCTTGGGGTGAGTCACGTCCTTGTTGATCATCACACCCTTCAGCACGCAAGACTCCTCAATGGCACCGCCGGGAATCTTCTCCACCTTGGCGTAGCTATGCGAGAAGAGGAATCAATTATTCGGAGTCGGGATAAGAGGATCAAGCTAAAGTAAGCACTTACCGCTTAATGTCCACCTCCAGGCGACCATTCTCGTTCAGCGTCACCGTCTCGACGGCGTCCAGGGCGATTTTCACAGCCAAATCGGACCACTTGCCGATGAATTTGGTGCCAACGCAGGCCTTGACCACCTCGGCCATTTTGGCCTTGTCCTTCACGTCCAGCTGCACGCTGAGATCCGACTGCAAGTGGCCGACGATGTCCTCAAGGGCCTCGCGATATGCCCGAATGATCACTGTCGGGTGAATCTGTTGCTGCAGGAAGGGCTCGGCGGCGGCCAGCATCTCGCCGGCCAGGACGATGACCGATGTGGTACCGTCGCCCACCTCCTCGTCCTGTGTGCGTGCGATCTCGATCATGCTCTTGGCAGCCGGATGCTGGACAGTGATCTCGCGCAGGATGGCGTTGCCATCATTGGTCATCACGATGCCGCCCATGGGGTCCATCAGCATCTTCAGCATGGCCTGGGGGCCCAGACATGTCCTGATCACATCAGCGATGGCCTGGAATGGGGAATCTCATGAGCAGATGGCCGGGAGAATGATAACCGCAGACCCAGACATGTGAGTCACGCACACACACACACATACCTTTCCGGCTTGGATGTTCTCCAACTGCACTTTGCGGCCCGATTCTCTCTTCGTGTTCTGACCTGCGGACGCCGATTTGGCATGATTTCGGGCTAAACTTGGGGTAAATGAAGTACTCACTCAACACGAGTATAGGCTGCTGTCCACCGAACATGTTTCTGGCTTATTTAATTATTTCTACGCGAAAACAAATGAACTCGTGCTGGCGCTGCCGCTGTTTGAAAGAGAATGAGTGAGGTTAGGCTCGCCGATGACACACTATTCCAGAAGTTTCGATAGGTCGTCAACTTTTGTGTGTCCAACTTTGGTTGTGGTAATTTCTGACGGCAATTAATCACTATTTTACACTTACTCGGGGAAAATAAGCTTAAAAATGCACTGGTTTAATTCAAATTGGAGAGCAGCAGCTTAGCGCTGTAAAAACATCGAAACAAGTATCGATATATCGTTGGCACCAAGAAATTATAGTATTATGACACTGCCGCATTAATTATGACCTTATGACACTGCCGCATTTATTATGGCCTTATGACACAGTAATGCAGTTTTCAATAATTAGCCACTTAATTGGAACCTTGAAAGAGACAACTATATATTATAATTTTTTTTACATTTTCTAAAGCCGCAATTTGCAGAATATTACTGTACATTTCTGAATTCGTCGTCGATGTATTCACGCAGTAATGTATGCGGAAACCGTTAAATTATTTTCAGCAAAATAAAATTCTCAGAGCAAGACAATTTTCAATGGAAGTGCCATACAGTCATCTTGCTCGCACTTAGGTAAAATCTTATGGAGCTTTCAGGTCTTGAATAAAATCTCTGATAAATTGAGTTGATTTGTCAGCTGCAATTTAATTTAAATTAATTTTTGTTATAGAAAAAATCGCATTTAATTGGTATCATTTTAATTATTTTAATATTAAGAACTATAAAAATTAAGTACAAAATAAAGGATAAAACTTGATTGAAAAGTAATAAAGTTTATATAATTCATGTTTTCAAAACATCGATAGTCAAAAATTGTAAACACAGATAGTATCGATAGTTCTCCGATGTTATGCCAGCACTAATCAGCTGTTGCGTTTTGTTTACGGCGGCATTTTCTTTATTTCACAAGAATTAGTTGAATTAACTAAAAATAGGCACGTCCGAGACCATGGACGCCAAGAAAATATCCTTTGGCTTCAGCAAGGTGGCCAAAAAACCCAATATCCTGCCCAGCAAGCAGCCAAAGGATGAAAACAAAGTGGAGCTCATCAAGTGTTTGGAGGGCAAGGAAATCAAGCTTGTAGCGTAAGTGTAAATCTAACTAAATATGTATTCCGACTAAAGATTTGCATTCCAGGGAGAGAGTGGAGGCCGCTCCGCTGATCATCGAGATGCAGGGCAGCCAGAAGACCTCTGCCGCTCTGGCCAGCTTGATGAAACGACGGGCAGTGCTGCTGGGCGAAGAGGAGCCGGATCCGGAGGAGGTGACCCCTGCGGCTCAGTCCGTTGCCGAGGTCACAGCTGGTCCGGCTGCTGCAGAAAACCTGGAACAGCGAGCTGCTCGAGAACTGCTTGCGGCTAGCCAAAATAATGGAGATAACTTGACCGCGGAAAAACTAGTGTTGCCGGCGGTGAAGGCCGACGAACTACCTCTCGATGGCGCCAAGGAGGCCACGCTGGACGACTACGACAACATACCCATCCAGCAGTTCGGTCTGGCCATGCTGCGCGGCATGGGTTGGGTGGATCCGCCGCCTAAGAAGAAGGGTTCCGGACCCATCGACGACGCCCCCTTCTTGCGGCCAAAGGGCATGGGTTTGGGAGCTGACAAGGCACTCAAGCCCAAAGCTCTGCTGGTACAGCCGGAAAAGAATGAGCTTCTGGAGATCAAGAAGCAGGCGTTCGTCCGAATCCTCGGCGGCAAACAGAAGGATCAGTACGGACAAATCGAAGGCTTCGACGACCATGCAGGGCGAGTCATCGTCAAGATGGCCATTGGGGGAGCTAAAGAGGCGTTCAACGAGTTCCTCTGTCAGCCAGTGTCTCGAAAAGAGTACGCGCAGTACGGCAAATGCATAAGTAAGAGCGATTTTAATGCAGTTTTTAAGTAAAAAGTAAGTTTTTAAATTGGTCTTTTTCTAATTTCAGACACCGCCAAGTACGAAGAGTTCAAGAAGCAGGAGAACGAGCATGGCCAGATAATTTTAAAGCAAGAGAAACCAACAGAGAGAAGGGACCGAGATCGCAGGGAGGACGATAAATCACAACGGGATGAGCGCAAAGAGCAGAGACATTACAAGGACGAAGATCGCAGGAGGTACAAAGAGGAAGATCGAAAGTCGTACAAGGATGAGGACAGGAAATCGTACAAGGATGAGGACAGGAAATCTTACAAGGATGAAGAACGGAAATCATACAAGGATGAGGACAGGAAATCATACAAGGATGAGGACAGAAAATACAAGGATGAGGATAGGAAATCGTACAATGATGGGAGGAAACCCTACAGGGAAGACGATAGGAGAGCATACAAAGAAGAGGATCGAAAGGAATACAAAACAGAACGGACCTACAAAGAGGAAAGCAAATTACACAAAAATGAGGACCGAGACAGGAGAAACCACGGGCAGGACTCTCGCAGCAACAGCTCCTCCACATCCAAGCGCGAGGATCGTGAACGCAGACGTTCGCCAAGTCCCAAAACCAGCAGGCGGCCCAAAAGCAGCTCAGACGAGGCAGACGACACTGGAGAGTCAACGGAAAGCGACTCCGACTCGGCCTACGAGCGCAGAAAACACAAAAAGTCATCTAGCCGCAAGTCCAGGAAGCACTCCAAGAAGTCCAAGCACAGAACGAGGAAAGCGGACAACGACTCAAGTGCGGACAGCGATGGAAGCTCCCATGAAGACCACCGACGCCACCCCAGCAAGTACAAAAAGAAGACTAAGAAGAGCAAGCACGCCAGGTCCCGGACTCGCTCAAGATCACGGGGAAGAGGCAGATAAAGAGTTGAAATCTTTATTTAAACATAGTTTCTCTAGACGTTTAAGTTCTTTTGTATCTTACGGGATTATCATATATTTCAATTAACTCACAAATTAATCACAAAGATGTCTTTTTTGCGCTTTTCTCTCTCCGTTCGCCCATCATCGAGATTCCTTCGCTTTACACGTTACAAACTTATGGTAGGGGATGTGATGAGGCGAGGCCCATGCGGTATGTGGTATGCTGCTAGCCAATGGGGAATACTGTCTAAATGCTACTGCACTTATTCTTTATGATATACATGTAGTGGAAATGCAATGCTCGGGAATTTATTTTGTGAAGTGTATGCGATGGGTGCTTCATGGCAAGTATATGACTTAGGCTGTTTAGATATTTGGTGATGATGAGTGTAGGTGCTTCTTTACTTGGAGGCTTGCTCTCCTCCCCTCTACTGCAACTTTCGCTTGCCGCATTGGATCTTCTCGTTGATTATCTTCGATGCCTTCTGGGTGATGGCCTTGAACACGTCCTTGTCCTGCAGCCCCGGCCACATGGCGATGAGCAGCGTGGCCAAGTACATCAGCAGCCAGTTATTGATGAGGGCCCCAATCCAGGCGAGACCCACAAGTCCAATGCTGCTGATAATCACGAACTGCAACGGGAGATATGTACATATGTATATTGCAATTATAAATAAAACGAACTCGATATGGTCACACGAGTTTTTAACCAGAAAGCCGTGGCAATTACTCACCACGGTGGACTTGCGCTCCTTGAAGAGGTACTCGTACCAGGTCGCCAGGTTTGCCTTGATCGCGCACACCTGGCTGCAAACGTCCTCGAACTTGGCTTCCTGGTCGCCATCCCAGTTGACGCTGCCAAAGACGAGGCGCGACACGGTGGGGAACATGTAGTCCATGAGGATGCTTATCAGGCCCAGCAGCGAGACCAGGGTGATCAGCGAAAAGTCCAAATACCAGAGGGCCAAGTACAGGACACTGATGCTGCCGAAGACCACCCCGGCGTAGTATTGCTTCTCCCAGGTGAGCACGCCGTAGGCCCCGACTATGGCCGTCCGGAAGGGCTCTAGGTCGTGCTTCAACTTGTTGAGAGCGCGTTTCTGCAGAGTGCAAGGCAAAGTTTTAGTGGATCCTGTTTTTGCAATGGCGTCGCCCACCGCCCAGGCAAGCTTTTACTGTCGCTTTTGGCGTCTGTCTATGCTCACCTGGTCAACCTGTGAAGCCGTCATGGTTGCTTTTCCACTAGTCGCTGGGATACAATTGTCTGAGAAATTCCAATTGCAAAACTGCTTTAATTGTTGCTTTCGGCTCGGCGAAAAATCAATTTTCCGGTGTTGTTTAGAGTGGCCAGCTTAGCTTGGTTCAGGCTAGATCTAGTATATTTTAAATGGAAAAGCTTATAGCCGAAAAATAGCTAGTTTAAATATTGATACACCATATTCTAGCAATAATAGCATTCGTGAAATTAACATTATTTTGTGATAAAAAATATATATGTAATTCTTACGTATGTTTTTTTAATCTAGCTTTTACGGCTGCACTAGAAAGAGGTACATTTTTCTATCGATACATCGATAGGGGTGTGCAAGTCGTTGTCAGACTTTGTAAGTGATTTCCTCTGGTCACACCTAAAAGGTGCGAAAATTTAAATTTAAAGTCCCCGCGCAACTGAACAAAACTAGTTGATGCTGTGGTGTTCAAATACAAAAACGGAAAGCCTAAAAACGATAATTAAAAAAGGATATTGTCTCTAAAAGTTATACTTCCATATGGTGTCCCATTTTTCCATTTCCCAAAGATAAAACAACTCTTAAACTTATAGTTATTTTTCAAGTTTTATTATTCGCTCAAGCATGCTGAAGATTCTCGGTTGACATTCGGTTTTCTAGTACACGTATTAATTAGTTTAACTAATGCTAAATATAATCTTGCTGTTCATTTACGAGTAATTGAATTGGGCTTCGGTTTATTTGTAAAAAGCGCTTGTCGTAAAATAAAATGGAATAATATTCTTTTGCACTGCAGTTTCGCATAGTTTTTGCTTGGTTTCGCATAATGTATATAGATTTATTCATATATTCGCGTGTCTGACGCGTTGCATCGAAAATCAATTGCTAAATATACATGGATATATGTGATTTAATTTCCATTTTGTTGACTCTGAGTTTTACAGTAAATAAACTACATATACGTTATATATTATTCCGACAATTAAATATATGAAAAATATGCATTTCTCGATTTGTTTGGTGTATTTTGGTGTAAATAGCGTGTGGCGCAATATCATTTTGTAGTTAATATTATTATTATACTTGTATTGTTGGGTGTCCATCCATGGATGGCTCTTGAAGCGGAACGTATGTACTTGGGTTCATTCTTTATTCGATTCGGGGCACAAGTTGTTTCGAGTAAATTTGTATAAAGGTTAAGGTAATGCGTTTATCTTTAGTAAGGCACTAGTTACACGTTAAGACGCCGCTTAACGTGTAACTACTGACTACGACACAAATTGCGATTGCAATGCGGTTCCTCTCCATCCTACATCTCCGATCCGCACTCTTCCAGCGACTCCTTAAAGCTTTCGTGTCATTTCATTAGCGTATTCTCTATATATTCATCTTAATTTTCTCGTTCTCGCACATTCTCACTCAGCACTGCACCGAACGAAACTAAACTAAACCACCTACTAAAGATAAAGACTGCCGGAATGTTTCGATCGGATGGGATCGGGAACTAGCAACTACGTGAAGCGACTGCCCCAGCTTTTGGGATGTCTTTTGCGACAGAGTTTGAGTTTCCTAAGTGTCTTAGGTGGTGATAGTTGAGACTGGTGAGAGTGTGTACTGGTAGGCTGATAGTTACTTTTGGGGGATAGTACATTTCAGTGTTCGCCTTTGCCGGTTAACACTAGTTACAATGTCTAACCTATAAGTACATAGCATTAGGGGGAGAGACAGAGAGAAATAGAAAGAGAGTTGGTATATATAGTTAGCGATTGGGTTGTTCTACACGTCGGACTACAGACTATAAACTAGGTTCTTCCACTACGTACAAAGTTTAAAATGCAACAGGGGGAATTTCGTTCTTTGCAAGTTAAAATTGGTATCAAAATCCATTCGATGATGACATATGTTCGGATGTGGATTACAGGATAACACGATATATTGATGTATGCGTTTGTAGTTTGTAGTTGGCGGCACTGACCACTCTCGTTGTCTGCTGGGGGTGTTGTGTGTGTGTAAATGGGTGTGTTCACATGCATAGCGGCGGGCTAACAACTATGTAAGTGCAGGATGGCGTTTCATATAATTGCATTTGTTGGTTTGATTCGGTTGCATTGCCTTCTTCTTCTTTGACTTGTACGACTTTGATATAGTTCTGAGCTTACATAGGTCGCTTGCTCGATTGAGCCACTTAGCTGGCGGACTTATAGTTAGGTTCAAATGAAAAAACTTTCAGTTTATTTATAAAATTTCACACCCTGGAATCTTACAATGACTTCGTTACATGTTCATGTATGTATGATAGACTTATGTGCTGGGCTTTAGTGTAATGAGAGCATGGGAGTGTGTGATGCTTCCGCGTCGACATGTACAAATGAGATTCGCATTCTACTTAAGATAACTCGTTTCGTAAATCATAAATTAGACCATTAACTAAAACAAGCAATTCACAAAAAATATACACTTAAATCATAAACACAATCGGATACTCCATGGTACGATATCAGCGTCAATACATAGGCAGACAGATCGACGTCGTGGGTCTAAACTTAAAACTTAGCGAGCTGATGAACGTAAGCTACCAGTATATGGTGTGGGGGAATACATAGGTCGATCATAAACGTAAAATGTTTTACAGAGAGTTGTATATTTCATATAATACATAAGGCCTTAGAAGGGGGTTCGAGCTTAATACTTAAAAGTAAGGGTTTCATCGTCGCCGTCCTATTCATTCCTTTCGGCTTCTTTTCTGATTCGTTTTCTTTAGCGAAAAAGCAAATTCGGCAGGCAGTTTTCTGTTTTCTGCATGCGTGTTTTCTGATGATGGAGCGAGTGTGTGTGTGTGTGTGGTTGGGTGGACATGGAATGATGATCGTTCCTTGTGACGCATATATTACAGATACAGTTTCGGTTGCTTCAATATCAACAAACTAGTGCTGATTATCTACATCCATTGGGGGGATGTCACATTAGTCTGATTCTGATTCGGATACTGAGTGTGAGTGTTGTTGGTTTCTTGTTCGGTTGACGACTGTTGTTGTGGCTGTTGTTTGATTTGCATTTGCTTTGGATTCGATTGGATTGGTTTTTACATATCGGATGCGTTTAGTTCAAGAACTTGGCTACTGTTATCATTATGAGGTTGCCCAGTATGATGCAAATGCTTGATTCTGGCAAATAGCTACCTCCGGCCACGACCACATCCTTCTCCTCCAGGAGCGGGTAATCGATGACGTGGATGATCCCATTGGTGCACTCCACATCCGGCCGATACACGTTGATCTTCTTGTAGTTCCAGATGATCACATAGCCTGCAAGAGGAGGTAGTTTTCGTTAAACAATGACCAAAAAGGAGAGCATATGCAGGTTCGATGGTTGTCTACTGATGCTAGTGGATTGCCCAATGAGCGATTGAGCTATGGACGGGCATGGTTATGGCCAGGTCGGGGTCTTTTTCTGGGCTTTGTGGGCTGTGCGTGGATGTGGGTTTGACAAACGACAGAACTCACCAGTCCATTCGTGACTAGCATACTCATCATGTAGATCTTTCGATTGGACAACGGTTAGATTTAGTTAAGCAAAAAGCGAGAAATTTAGTTCGAGAGTTGTAGAAAAACAGGTTCGGTTAGTAATACAGCACGGTGGGGGAGAGTACCAATAGAGAATCGAATCAAATTTCAATGAATCGAATCGACTTGAATTGAATTGAATTGAGAGAAGAAGCAGCTAAGCTGAGCCCTTGGCTTTAACGATTCGGTACTTACGTCCAGCCTCCTCCTCCACGCGTATATTGAGGGAGTCACGGAATGTGGGTAGAATGACGCTGCCAGACTCCTGCGAAATTTTCACAAGATCCTTCATGGTGAACGGGGTGTCCGAAATGGCCAAATGACGCTCCAGAATGGACTTGGACTGTAAAGAGAAATCAGTGAGTTTCGGATAGAAAAAGCATCGGTGGGCCAAAGACTCACATGATAGGCAAAATCTTGCATGAACAGTTTCTTGTGTGCCGATGGATAGTCCAGCTCGGTCTTCTGCCAGCCCTTGTCCCGGGGCACGAAGTAGGTGAAGCGCCGCTGGGTGTTGTTCAGTTGGTCGTTGAAGTGCGAGAACTGACCCATCTTATAGGTATCGCTACGGATATAATATTTATGTTATAACAAGGCTTTGTACGCATTCACAAATTAAGACTCACCTCATCATGGGATCGGACTCCAGTTTGCCCAGCAGAGTGGTGTATGGCACTCCGAGGACATGATCGATAATGTGGACAAAGCCATTGGTCTGGGCCACATCAGCCTGGATAACGGTAGCATTGACGCCGCCACCTTCGACGGTGATCACCGCATCTGATCCCTCGCCGCGGACATTGAAGTACAGGAAGGTGTTGTTGTTGACAGTGGGCACTTGGGCAATCTGCAAGCATGAAGGTCTTCAATTAGCGACTCTTAATCTTTGGTTAGTTCTAGGAGATACCTACCAAATTGGCATTCTTCTGTCGGATCTTCTCAACATTCAAGCGGTCCTTGATAATGTGCATGTTCAGAATCTGCCTCATCTTATTCCGGTCTCTGTAAACGTTTTTATTTGGAGTTTGAAATGTAATTTCTTGCCAGATTGGTCTTACCGCAGAATATTGTTGATATTGGAGGAGTTCCAAGCCTCATTGCTGGGCGCCAAAATGGTCACCTCCGACAAATTGTTGATGTCATCCAGGACTGCACCTCCATTATCCATGATAACCTCGTAAAACTTTCGCAGAGCTCCGTTCTCAGCATTCTCCTTCGAAAGAGAAAGCATAATTATTCAGTTGGATTCGTTTTTGTGCGGAATTACTTCCCAAAACATGAAATAATAATCTAAGAAAACATACTGTTGCATGGAAGGGAGAGGATACGCATAAGCTTACGGGGTTTTAGGGGGTTTCTTTTTCTAGGGCAGTACAACAGATATAAGGTTTGCTTTGGGGATTTAATGGCTGGCCAAATTGAATGGTGAATCGAGGGGAATAATGCTAAATGATTCACTACGGCTGTCTGAATTTATAAGTATTTAATTATTATTCGAGTGGTGATTCGATTGTGCGTTGGTTGGGTTGGATGGCAATTTGATAGCGAAGCGTTGCACTGATGACTGTTGTTGTGATTCTTGTACTTGTTCTGCTTGTTGTTGTTGTTGCTGGTGTTACTTACGTTCATGAACTAAATCGGTTTACAAAACGCAGAAGTTTTAGAAGTAGGAGGATAATTTCGAATAAGATTTTGTAATTTTAAACACACATTCATAGAAATCGGATATTTGTTTGTTTTGATATTTTTTTGTATCCACGCAGAGTGCCGTATAGTTGTTCCGCCACAGAAGAACACATTTGAAAGAAGCACAATGGAAATATATATTTTATTTTCGTTTCGTCTTAGGCATTTTGCAGTTAGCAGGCAGACGGTCTGGTTTATATATTTACATAATTGCTGATCGCTATGGAACTGGCGTGCACTTTTCAACGTTTACAGCGAATCAAACATTGTAATTTACACTATCAGCTAATAAAGTATGTCAATGGACTGTTAAACATTGCAGCCAGTTTAAAAATGATATGGAAATATAAAGGCCAAACAGTACAACATATAGTTTAAACGCACAATCAAGGAAATAATATGTTATGGAAGTCAAAAGCAAGAATGAAACATTTCATAAATCAGAATAAAAACTTTAAAAAGCTCCCAAAATAATACATCCCTAGCTTTAAATATAAGAAGTAAGTGCTGAATATTTTTATCTAAGGGTGTTTATATTATCTTATCTTTTTAAAATCACTAAACTCAACCAATTTAAAGCCTTTAACGGAAGGTGTTTCATGCAAAAGTAATAAAGACAGGGGCGGGGGATGCAAATCAAAATGCAACTTTTAACAAATCAGTCAAATAAATAATATACTTGGATCTTGTTTTGGTTTACCTTGAACGACTGAATGCGTCAACGGTTTGGTTTTTGTCAATTTTTCGGTGCATCGTTTTCAATTTTAGAGCGATATGTGGTTGGTTGGTTTGTGTTTTTTTGTAGTTTTAAATACAATTTTTCGGCATGTTGCGAGAAACAAAGGATAGAGGTATGGATCAGTAAGTGTAGCCAAAAGAGCAGAGCACGAGTAATTACAACAGAACTATAGTGGAATTTCGAAAATGATATTGCAATAAAACGATATGACGATTCGATCTGATTCGATTGATATATACCAACTGCACAGTCCGTTTCACAACTAAACGGGAACTACGATCGCAATTAAGGCATTCCCATAGTTTCGAAACGCACTGTATTATAATGTGTGTATGTGTGTCGATGAGGGAGAGCCATTCTCTGGGTATTGCGGATTATGCGCAGAAGAAACATTTATATAGTAAAGCTACGGTTACGATGTGATCAAGCATGCCGGCTGATAGCGAGCGAACAGCGAATGATCGGTGACTGATCATAGATTGATATATGCAGGGGGAACATCGAGCTTCAAGCCAATCAATGAACATCTCAATTTCTTCTCTCAGTTTTGAGACCATTTAAATACATTTAATAGAGAACAATGGGAGTAGTTTGGTAAATGAAGTTTTCGTTGATTCCAGTGCATATCGAGCAAAGCGCTATGCCTTGTTAGCAATTTTGATTTCAGCCAATAATACGTGACTAAGTCACGTTTCGAATTTCATTTAAAGGGCCAATTAATAGCGCCTTGCCCAATACTGAGTCAGTCAATAACTGCCAGTGAAATGCATTTTGATAGGGAAATCTGATTCATAGAAAAAATTTACATGATTTACATGGCGTTTAGGTATATATATTTTTTTGGATTTTCTATTTTGTTTTTTGGCAATACTTACATTACACCCAAAATTTTTTTAAAATAAAATTTATATTTTAAAAATTATTTTAAAATAAAATTTTGCTTTTGATTTTACATAGAACCGAATTGAGAAAATCAAAGGAACTGAGCAAGATTCTGGTTTTTTTTAGAAATGTTGCACAAGTTTTTACACAGAAATTCGGTTCTTGGTAAAATCAGACTTTGGGTTTATTTGTATTAGGGAAATGTACCTAGGGGTTACTTTCGCTTGGATCTGGAGTAGAGATCTATTGATCTATTGTATGTGTCTAATCTGTGGTATTTGAGTGCAAGATAATTTGGTTTGGCTTTGCCCTCAGTTGAGCGCTTCGGAAATTGTGGCCTGGGGAATATCACCCCTTTGACGGCTATTTTGTGGAATTTAAAAGGCACTCAACAAAAAGCAAAGATAAGCCGAGTGCTCGATATGTGTGTGTATGTGTTTTCATGTGTTTTAGCATTCGCTGGGGCTGGCAAGCGATTCAATTGGTCTCCTAGTATCTTCTTGGTCGCCGCCAGCGCTATCTTTCAGTGCGTGCCGAGCCAATCAAAATGCCAAGCCTTATCACAAGCCGCAGGCACTATCACTGCTTCTATTTGTGTGTGTCTGGTCTGTCTGTGTCTGTGTCGGTGTTGTGTCTACAAATGCACAATTCAGTTTCCCTCGACACCCCACATACCTGCAGGAATTGTGTGACCGTCGTATCGATGATCATTAGCGGACGGTGAATCAGATGGACGACTCCGTTGCGAACTGGAATGTTGGCCTTGACGATCTCAGCCAGAACTACGCCCTCACGGTGCTTGGCATCTCCCACAATGGTATTGGACTTGACATACACTGAAAGTAAATATATTAAGTATAATTTTTTATGAGCCATAATCTCGTCCTACTTTTGCCATTCTTTTGCTTAAAGAAGCTGACGGTGACCTTGAGGAGATCCTCGAAGGCGGCGGAAGTCTTGGGATCGTCGTGCTGAGCGGCGGCAGTGAAGATGACAGTGTTGGGTATCACATGGCCATCAATGACCTTGGCATCCACCAGGCTGCTGCGAGCCGAGAGCTGTAATCCAAGAGAGTTTCTTAGGCATCTACCAAATATAATACTGATAATGTGAGGTCAACCTTGAAACCCTCATCCACGGGAACGAGGAAGGTGTGCTGTCCGGCCGCTTCGAAAACGGACTCCTTCTTGCCCAATGTCACCTGGCTGCGGTAGGTGCGCACACCGATGTTGTCCACGTTGAACTCCTCGGCGCTCTTCAGGAAGTTGAGGGCATCCGGATTGTTGCTGACATCCGAATGGCCAGGCTTCACGGTGAGCGGCTCCAGCACCTCGTCGATGATGTGCATGATCTGTGGGCAGACAGATAAAGATTTAACAGGTTGCTTTATGGCAAGGAATGCGGGCCACTGACCTGCCGCTTGCCGTTGTTGTTGGTCTCCACACTGAGCGAGGGGATGATCCGGGCATTGTTCACAAAGATGTCACCATTGGAGTTCTTTGTGATGTACAGCGGTGGATTGCCGTCCATGTCCGATGACACGTAACTGGGCAGTCGTTTCTGGGTGAACGCCTCCGTGCCTGTGGGGGTGGGTGATGAGTATGTGAATATTTTAATTATTTTTAATCAAACTAATTGAATATGAAACTCACTAATGTGATAGAGCACATGGGCGGTTTTGCTCTTGTAGCGCTGGAAGGCTTCATTGGTGGGCACAAAGATCGTGCAGCTGCGCAGCGAAAGCGTCGAGTTGGCAATGGGATTGCTCTCCAGCAGGCTGTAGAACTGCAAAGATAGACCGGGTTCGTTACACTCATTCGATGCGCTCTATATTGCCAATATATCTTATCGAACCAAGTGGGGAGTGCGAGTAGTGGGTGGTGGTTCTGGCGGGGTAATGGGATGGGGGTGGGGTGCCTTTCGGGGTGGTTGGTTGGTTCTTTATCGGTTTTGGCAAAACGGCAACCGGCCAACTTCCATGGCAACCTCAAACAAACTAATAAAATGAGGAACAGCACATTATGCATGTGTCCTGAAAAAAAGGTTTATTGAACCAATTACGTAAGTCCCGGGGTGGTTTGTATAGTGGCGACTAGTGTGTCATTCTATCGAGAGTGGGATGTGAAAATGCATTACCCAGCCACCCCAAATAGACCAGCCACTGACCCTAAACCAGGTCCGGGACAGGGACGGGCCTGGCCCGGCACCACCTGCCCCTGCCACATGTGACTATGGCCGCATGCAACCGCACACTCTGCGGCCGAGGAGAACCACTGTCCGCCACGCCCCGCTGCACATTCCCAGTCAGCTTTATGAGGTCCTGTCTGGGTCTAGTGTGTGTGTGAGTGTGTGTCCGTTTGCCTGTGTGGGTGCGTGTCCTGTCGAGGACAACACCTTTTTCCGTGCCCTTCTTTAAAATGCTCGTGTGACTCTCTCGTGTTTTCGCTGTTGCCCAGCATGAGTCATGGCAATTTGGCTTCTAAAGTCGGTCCTTTCCCTTTTCCTTTAACATTTTCCCTTTTTCCAGTTCCCCCTGACTGGTGCACATAGATATCTATGCTCTGGCATCGTCAATACTCACGCATGCACACCGAGAAAAACAGGTTAATTTGAAAATTAAGTTTTAGAGATCTCGGATCTAGCCAATCAATCAATAAAACTCATTTAAAACTTAGTATTCTTGAATTTAAATTGGAAAATATAGAAATATATTAGGCGAAAATATTATATATTTAACGAAACTGTAAAAATGCTTTTCACGGGCTCTGTATTTAAAAAATATCCTGAAACTTTTATAATATAATCTTCATCAAGGATTATATTGTTATTTTTCTTGAGTGTGAATACTTTGTGTTCTTGTTTTCTGTTCTTGTTTTTTTTTTTTTTTCTTTTTTTTAGGTAATTCGAGACCGTCAGTTGTCGTTGTCGTTATATCGGTGTGGTTGTCCTGGTCGTGGACATTCGAGTCGCCGCTGGCTTTGTTCTTATCCCGTCTTCGGTTTTGGCCAGAACTGCTTGGCCGGTTTCTATTTCGCTCTCAAAATGTTTTCGCTTATCTTAAGGAGAGTGCCCTGCTGGCTAAGTGGGGTATTAGGGATTGGCTGTGGCATATGTCACAGGTTGATATGGGATACGTTCAGGTACCAGGTTCAAGAGATTCAATGGGAAATGTACCCAATACCGAATAGATACTGTTTACTTGAAAAAACCGAGCGACACTTTCGCTGGGCGGCCATTTTCCATGGGCCATCTGTCAGCATCCTTTCTAGTTTCAACCCCCTCGGGTGCCTTTGACAATTAGATGCAATTACTTTCATAAATTTTCGTTATCGAATGTTTTGCATTTGATGATGTTGATGATGAAAGCAAGGGAGTTTCCGGCCCTTTTGGCAGATCATCACGATAAGGACGCTAGAGCCTTTCCCCGGGGAGTCTTTTTCGGAAGCCCTGATGAATTTTCAGCAATTGTTAGTGTATTATCCTGTCAACGATAAAGAGTTTCCCTTTCTGGATGGAGCGACGTCTCATTTACTATGCAAACACCACACGCAGCAGCAGCTCCCAAGAGGGGGAGGGTTTTGGAAAGCGCATTTTGATTTTTCCCGGGTGCCAAGAGCCAAGTGCCAGGCCAAGCCAATGACCCCTCGGGTGGCAGACGCACCCCAAAATCAAGGGTTCGAGTCAGACGGCGGGGCAAACAATAATTTGGCCAATGGCTCGATGGATATTTTTGTTAACTAAATTAAGTACAAAACATGTGAAAGTTCGTTGTGATAGTGTCTGTTGTTTCTCTGGTTTTACATGTTGTGTAGCCTAATTGTGTTCGTGTTGTTTCTGTTTGCTTGGTTTTTGGAATTGCAGCTTACCCTAACTGGCATAAGGCGCCTCAAGGAATTGGCAGTGCTCTGAAATAGATAGAGAGAGAGAGAAAGAAAGAAAGAGAGAAAGAGAGAACCGCTGGCAGTTCAAACTTGTTGTTTTCTTTCCAATTGTAGCCAAAAATTGTACTAATTTCCTAAACCAAAACAACTACAAAACGAGAGCAGGGGATTTTTTGGGGCGTGGCACTTGAGGAGATTCAATTTCCATCATCATTGTCTGTCTAATGGAGCCATTAAAACTAATTAGCCAAGAGAACGAGCCAAGCTTCGTGGTATGGAATAGGGACTGAAATCGGAGCAGGAGCTGGGGGTCTGGAGCAATGTTGGTTTCCTTCTGAGCGAGTGCATGTTGTATAAATAAATTTAATTGGTACAAATTATATATGCATATGTCTGTTGTATCATTGTTTTCTTTTTTTTTTTTTTTTTTTGATAATTGCAGCGGCAGCAGAAACAGAAAACATAAGCGAAAGCGGTCTCTCAACCCCTGGGGACTTGAGACTCGAGCAGCATTTCTCTTTTAATTGGTACAGTACAGGGAAATAGTGGAAAAGGGGGTTCAAAAAGGGGGGGACTACTGGCATCACTCCGAGGCCGTTTCTCGCCCACGCCACGGATCACATAGCTCCTCCGTCTATGAGCATGTGGACGTGGATCCATTAAGGTCAGTCGTGGCTCATTCATCGCCTCGGCTGAAATGGAGCTCGTCGCATATCAAATAACGCGCCTTGGCATCGCATTGTAATCTTAAATTAAATTTAATTGAATTCGATGATGCTGCGAGCGAGTGTTCGTGCCCTCTGTAGTGCACTGTACATTGAGCGTTCCTAGACGACAGCGACGATCCGCCGCTCAGCCTCTGTTGCATCAGTCAAAGGTTAAAAATTAAAATTAATAAAACGCACAAGACGTTGGACGCACGACAGGAAGTGGGGGTCAATCGCAGGAGGTCAGCTCATTCCCCATTTCTCATTTCTTATTCCTCGTACCCGCACATAAACATGGATATATCCACATACATACATATGTATGTATGGAAATGATTTCGGCTGAATTTTCACTCAAAGCGATTAAAATCGCTTGGCTGTGTTTCTCTCAATGAGCTCTATATATAGACCGAGTAAATTGCTGGCTAGCAGTACGAGATCGGCTCGGAATGTGGCATCCGCTCGAAAACTCCCTGCTGATCGCCAGTGATCTGCCAAGCAAAACCACAAGCCGTAAGCCGCAAAAGCCAAGATAGGTCTAACCTATATTTATCTAACTTATCAGCATATAATGAGGAGTGCAGGTTTACTGAAGAATGGAAAGGAAAGGCAAGGGGATTAAGATACACTTCCAGATACATTTTCTGGCCAAGTTAATTCAAAAATTGGAAAATGTTTCCAATACAAATAAGGAGAGAAAACACTTAATCACTTAATCTGAATAAATAAGACATAACTTAGAATTTGATATGCTATGTTTGACTTGTATCCTACCCTTTATGGCAAAAAATTTACATAAGTGACCAAAGATTACTTCCCGCCCCTACTATTTGATGACGAACAAACCGAACCACCCCCATATAATACCAGGCCGGAAACACTATCCACTGAAAGTGGCAAACTTCTGGGCAAAGTTACCATACCCCAAATGCAAGGGTGCAAATGAGCAAGCCGAAACCCCCTTCCCGATTTAGTTCTCGCTGTACGCTCTGTTTGCTATATCGCGACTTGAATAGGTTGTGTGCGGATGTTTGGCTGCAGCTACTTCCCTGAGACCCTGAGGCACAGAGACACCGGCTGCAACAATTACCACCCGCTGTCCCACTCTTTCTAGTCTTCTGTCGCACGCTTTCTTTTTTCTTTCTCCGAATACTCTTTACCTTTTTGCTCAGCTGACAAGTATTTTGGGAATTATATGTTAAGCAGAGTTGAACTTTTAGCAGGGGTTTAAGTAATCGAGGAGGTTTTAAGAAATATCTGATAATGTTTTCTCATATAAAAAATATTTAAATAACAATTTCTTCTCTCAAATTTGATGGTTTATGATTTCAATTTCTTTCTCTAATTAGTTTTAATTTCAAGGTATTGATATAGATTGCCTTAAAGGCGTGTACGTTCCATGACCTGGCCCTCATAAATCAATAGTTTTATCTCTTGGTTTTGATCGCTGTACCCCTGGCGTAAAATTCGTTAATGGGTAACCCTTTGGACAGCTGAAGCCGCCGTCGCCGCCGCCTCTGTGTGCATTACACATGTTCTTGTTATTTCAGCCGCGTACCTTTGTTGGCTTCTGACTTTTTTACATTTTAATGTGTTTTTCTATGTGCCTCTTTTTTGTGCGACTGTGTGTGTTGGCGTGTGAAGGTGTAAAAAGGCAAAACTAAATATAAAACTGTTATGCTCAGTGGACGTCAACGACCGCCGACTTTTGCTTAATTTATGTGGCTTTTCATTTTTACATAACCAAGCAGACTCCGCCATGCATACAAAATGTGGCCAAGTGGAGTTTAGTAGCGACCGTTAGTTTTTGGTTGGCCAGGAACCTGGATTTCCTGCAGCATCATCGATTTTTCGCAGCGCCAACAACAAGTGAGCTGTCTAAAGGTCAAGGACGATGCTGCCAAAGCCTCGACGACTACCTGTGCCCAAATGCGGAATGCGGAAAGCGGGTGCCTCAGTCCGTCCCTCTTGCGCAGGCTCCTTTCCTGTCAAGGCTTTTCCTTTCAAGGCCAGCGAATTGTGGGGGGGCGGGCTCGGCTACAATTGAACTTTGGTAACTGGAACTAATAGTTGGCAAGCGACACAATTGGACGGGAAGGTTACCGGAAATTCATCAACTATTTTTAGCCCAACAATTTGAAAGCAAGGGTTATTCGTTTTTTACTAAATAATTTTGGACCATATTTTGTTTAATTCAATATTTCCATGTAATGGGCCTTGAAATAACTATATGTATCTTTACGTCAGAGGCAAACTATCAAAAGTAACTTGTTAAAGCTTTCTCTATTTTAAATTAATGCCAATACTAAAATAAATTTAACGTATTTTAATTTTAAATCCACAAGAATTCACAGAATACTCTGCAGGTATTCCGGCTTATAATGCTGAGAAATAACTATAAAATGCAAAAATAGCTTGGCATTTTGTTAGAGGTTGAAACTAGATGCAAATATTTCTTAGCGTACAACTTTCAATTCCTTATAACAGCTTCCAGCTCGAGCCAAGGTGGTTAGAACATAGGCAGGATCAACTGTACTGACGGATGAGCAGGGGCGTAGGGTGCACGGGGGCTTGGGGATTTGGTCTCAGACACAGTCTGTGCTGTATTTACTTTAACTGTTTCTGCTGCTACCACTACCACTACCACAGTGTTCTTTCGCCACCTCTTTTCTCGCCCCTCCTCTTTCACTGTTCTTCCACTGACTCACCTGAGAGAGTTCCGAGTCATCGCGCAATTTGTCCGCCAGGTCGGCGGCGGCAGCTGCGCTCGCGGCGCAAAGCAGCGCCAGCAGCAGCGCTTTCAGCATGGCGAACAACAACAACGACTGTGGGTGCACCAACAACACTTGTTTTTTAGTTTCTGTTTTTAAGCTCTGCTGCAGCGACGTCGGCAGTGTATTTGTTATTGCAGGGTGGCGGTCGGGCGTGCGTGTGTGAGTGCCGCTGCTGCTTCTACGATTAAGATCTGCAATTTAAATGCAAACGTTAGCTGCAGTCCGAAAATCTTCCACGGAAAGAAAATATTTATTAATTCACAGATAGCGCAGAAATCAGCTTGTGTTTCCCTCTCGCTCCCCCTCGCGCACAGGGCCTAGAACCGTTATGTCACATATAAGAATAACAAGCACAAACGGACCACCAGAAGCCAAGCTGCGCTTATTGTGTATTATTTTTTCTCTTTAATTATTATGCGCATCCCCCCTTTTCGTTGCTGCGGCACTTTTCTTCTTTTTGTTTTATCCTTTTGCGGGTGCTTCGGACCGTCTTTCTTCTGCGTAATTCTCGGAACAGCGTTCTTGGAAATGGGCTTAACGAGCGCGACCAGAATTATGCAATGTTCGCCGAAAGCCAGAACAGTTTTTCCTCTATTTATTGCACACAGGCGAGCGGGACGGAACGAATCGCGGGGTAAATCAATAAAGAAACGCTGGCTTGCACCAATTTTAGAGTTATTCGTTATGCACAGCGTATAGATTTTCTGCGGGAGGGGGCCAGCGGCCGTGGTACCCACCAGTCGGAGGAATTGCACCGTGCGCCACGCTCGAGTGTTTTTTACGAATTGAGCCGAGGAAACAGGTTTCTAAGCACAGCACGAGCGTTTGAATACACAACTGCCGGCCGCAGTGTGGCCAGACGAGAGTTTGGCTTTCCCCCTAAAAATCGCAAGTAGTTGAAATTTCCCGCTAAAAGTCCAAGACCCATAATTTTTCTAAGAGTTTATAATTTTTACAATGCTTTTTCATAATATTAAAAAAATACTGCTCCAAAAAACCCCTAAAATTCCCCTTAGGACGACAAAAACCCCAAAATAAAGGGGGAAGCCCCTGTTTCAGAAACCTGGCTTGCAGCGTTGCCAATTTAGCTATTTCCCCGCTAGATATTTCTAAAAATGAAATATTTATATCGTGATTTTTTTTTTCCCCAAATATCGATTAGCGATATTTTTTGCCTTGCCTTTAAATTAAATTCATCCATTTAATATTTGAAATTTGACTACGCCAAAGAATAATTCCAAAATTTCAAGGAAAATTATTATAAACTGCTTCAAGAAATTGTATCATTAATATCTATCATAAAAATGAGATAACTTTATAATTTTCATATTTTGTTTTATATATACATAAAAAATTATAAAATTCTAAGAAAACAGATATATGATACATTCTTAATATTTTTATAATTATTCCTCATTTATTAACAATTAATTCTTTAATGTGTTAGGCTCAAGAATAATTTTTAATAATTTCAGCTTATTACATTAAACTTAACTTAACTACAAACATTAAACATGTTTGAAGTTATTGATAATAAGAATGATAAAGTGATAAATGATAAACGAAGTTAAAATAATTCAATAATTAAGTGTATTTGCAACAACCAACCACACCAACACCAAGTTTAATAAAATTAAGACTTATTTTATGATACAAAAATTAACTTCGATTGAGAGAAAGGATTCAACAGACATAGCTGGTTAGTTTCCTTTTAAATTATAATTCCAAAAATAGCAATTACACTTAACATGATACAGTAAACAAAGACAGACTAGTTGAATAGAAAACTTCTGTTCAATTGAATATAGCTTGTACATATTAGCTTAGTTGAGTGCAAAGCTAACACGGTCTGTACCAACAAACGAATTTTAGTCAATATTTGGAAACGTAAAATTGTAAAAATAAGCACATGTAGTTTTGAATTAGATGTATGAAACCTTTCCACTTCCCTCATGGGACTATAAATGGAAAGGTGCCAGATTCAGTCCACAGACAGTTCTTTATCTCTCCCCGTCGAACTTTAACCATGAGGCTTCTACTCGCACTGACTGTGGCCCTTTTGGCCATCTACTTGCTCCCAGTTGATTGTGCCTCTTCGGATTCAGACTCAAGTGCAGGAACTGCTACAGGCACTGGTACGGGAACTGGAACAGGCACGGGAACAACAACTTCCACGACAACAGTGGCTTCCACAACGACGACGACCACATCGACCCCAGTCACCCACAGGACTCTCCATCACCGCAGGCGGCGCATCAGTCGGAGGATCAATCGCAGACGCAACAAAAGACGCGATACCGAGGAGAGGAGGCGTCGCAGGGGTTAAGCTACAAAAGATTCACTGATCGAATCTTCAGATATAATAATTCATATTAGTTTTTATTTGTTCTTGATCTACCGAATAATAAGGCAAATATTTAATGGGGAAAAATTTTGTTTCTGTTAATAGAGTCTTAAAGATTTATGACCTATAACAATACAAATTTTCTACATTAAAGTCATTTTTAAAATCTTCTTAAAATTCTCTAAATGGAAATGTTAAGTCGATTCTAGTGATATATGTATTTTCTTAGGAGAAGCTCCCAAATCAGTAAAATTTAATACATATATGGGCTTTCTTATATGTCTGTATTTTTAATTATTTTCACTCGATTCATAAAGTGAAGTGAAATCAAAAAATGCTCGTGCGGTGGAAAAGTAAAAAATGGGTCAACAATTATTGGGTTGAATCTAAAATTACGCAAAGCTCTTGCATAATCAGAATGGGTTTACGGTGTGTGCAAATTGTAGTCTTATTCGCTTACATTGTTGATTTCTTGAATAAAATGTGGAGCAAGTGGCCAATTCGAATATGTGGCAATTTGGGGGAAGCGCATTTTATTAACTTCAGGTAATTCAATTATTTTATTCACTAGATAACCATTTACTTATATATGTATGTCTAATTGTACAATACATTTATATAAGCAGACACATTACTTGACCATAAAAAAATATCTAAATGTTTTTAATTTATTCCTATTCCTTTGGTAAAGAAAAACGGTCGAAAATATCCGCCTCGAGGTGTGATCTCTTCTTGTTATCCCTATTAGTATTTTATAATGAATTTGAGCAGAGACCATAATAGGAACACAGTAATCAACAGGAGCACTGTCATTAAGCCATAGTGTAATATCTTGAACCTATTGAAATAAGCCAAGATTAATAACGGGAAAACAAAAATATATTATTAGCACACTTACAGCTTTAGCAGTCGTCGTCCACTCTCAAATGATTCCTTGGTTGGAGGCTCTTTTCCCAAGTAAAGTCGCATGCCAAACAAGGCAGATTTGAAATATTCCTTCCAGTCGAGAGCCTCCATGTCGAAGTTGTACATTTCCCGATCTTCAATCGACATTAGAGACCTTAGTTTATCAGCGCTCTTTGTCTCGAATTTCCAACTGTTGAACAAAAAATGCTGAATAGCGTTCACATTGATGTGTATTTTTCTATAGAGATCCACCATTCGGGGCTTCTTTCCCGCCAAGCGTAGGATTAGATCGAACATATATCCGGGTAGTGTGTGGTAGAAGAAGGCGAGTAAGGTATACAGCCAAGGCTTGGAGACGCAGTTCAAAAATGGATACCAGATCATCTTATTTACTGCAAGCTCGTCCCTATGGCTCATTCCGAACTTAATGAAGTCCGTATGACTAAGCAAGTTTGAGGTACTCGGCGCCAGTGTGAATATGGGCGGTTGTTCCTTCGGGTCTCGTATAATGTCTCTTTTGCCGGTTTGCCAGATGCTGGCCAATGCCATATTGGCGCAGTAGTCCACTGGAACAAAACTGGTGGTACCCTTTTTGCTATGGCCGACCAAACGTATAACTCCGTGGCCTATTCCGTATATAAGTGTAATCGGTCCGTAGAGATTATCAATCCATCCGCTAACAGGCTCTTTGTGGCTGGCAATAACTTTAGATAAATTACAACAATTTAAAACTAACTTAAATTGTAAATGATACAAAGGAACACTCACTAATTGCCGGGCGAAAAACACTCAGGGGAAGGTCTCCCGCTTCTCTGAGGATCACATCCTCAGCCAGGGCCTTCGAGTACGTGTAGGTATTGGGGAAAGATCCTACGAGTACGGAGGATATACTGTCTATCATTTTGGCCCCCACTATCTCAGTCATGGCCAAAATTTTCTCCGAGTTGAGGTTTAAGAGTTCGGGATAGAACCTCTCTTCGATGTGAAACTCAGGGCAGTTTGAGAATGCCGACGAGATATGGAGAAAGGCCTGGAGGTGCTTCATTTCCTTAGCCAGTTGAAGCATCAGCTTAGTGGCTCGCGTGTTGATGGTGATAGCTATGTGAAGGGGCTCATTGAACCTCACCGTGGCAGCTCCATGGATGAAGATCTGCACCTCGGAGGCCAGGAGCTGGCGATCCTTAACGCTAATGCCTAAATCGTGCTCGAGACAATCGCCAGCGATGGTAAAGACTCGCTGAAGTGCCTGGGGCTTCGACTTGAGCAGGACTTCGAAGAGCTAAAGGGACATTAGCACTACATATATATCTCAATTAAAACTGTTATTTGTCTCTCACTGGATCCTTTTCCCAATTCTGAATTCGTGCCTGAATATCCTGATTTCGTTTGGGCCTAACCATGGCGTATATGCGTTTCACATCCGTAGCTCGCAAGAGCTTTTCAATAATCACTAGGGGCAGTAGAATTATGAATCCCAAGGGACTGAAATGGAATCTCACGGGACGCATACCTCTTCCCAAAAATCCGGTGGCGCCTGTTAGAAACACGACCTTGTCTTTGTAGAAATCCTGAATACCGCACTCCATTGTTGGGCCTAAAGCGTACGCCTCCGATGCTTGCGACTTGTAATGCTTTTCAATGAGAAATGAGTATAGCTTGGCCGTGCTGCTTATATATAAACATGCTGTGCCAGAAAGCTTGGGTCACCCGAACTGTGATCCAGTCAATTGTATGCAAACCTAAGCAAAGCTACCTTTGGAATAGCAGCGGAAGCGTGTACTAAATATACTTAAAAGGGAATTTTATTCCGGTTATGAAAGCTTAAAATTGCAGGGCTATGAAGATCTAATTAATTGGTATAAAGGAATAATAATCTAAAATATATATGTATATTTATATATATAAATATAGGTATATGTTGGACTAAAAGTTTGAACTATTTATATCTCAATATTTACATGAAGTGACAATAATTGGAACGGGATCAACTACATCCTAGACAGTCGTGACTTTCATTAAAAGCAGCAACCTAGTGGTTGCACCATTGATTGGACACAAGTCAGCGGTCCAACAATTTTGCAATATATTGAAAACCGCAAAGCAAATATTAAATCAAATAAAAAGATAATATAGAATTAAAGAAGAAAATTGGTCATACAAAAAAAGCTTATTGTGTACAACATTTCTTTATAATCTCTTATTAAAAAAATAATGCGCATTCCTTTTCCCAAAAGTAAAAAACGATTTTCTACTGTTTATCCTTAAATAGCGGTTTAAATTTGTTTATATGATTGCAATCGTGATGGAAAATTAAAGCTACTGAACTATTGGTCAACTAGCTCTGGAATCCGGATTGATTCTTAACTTATGCAAATCATAAAGCTAAGTGCTAAGTTTCTTATAAAGTTGAGTAGCGCGAGCTTACTTCGTGAGAAAATCGGATTTAGATATGAAGTGAAATCAAAAAATGCTCCGTGCGGTGGAAAAGTAAAGAATTGGGCCAACAAGTATTAGGTTGAGTCTAAAATTACGCGAAGCTCTTGCATAACCAGAATCGGTTTACGTTGTGTGCAAATTGTAGTCTTATTTGCTTACATTGTTGATTTCTTGAATAAAATGTGGAGCAAGTGGCCAATTAAAATATTTGGAAACTTGGGAGAATATCTTTTTATTAACTTCAGGTAATTCAATTATTTCTTTCACTACATAACCATGAATTTATGTATGTGTATCTTTACAATACATTAATCAAACAAAGTAAATAAAAACAAAAATAAAAAAAATCCAAATATTTTTAAATTATTCCTATTTATTTGATAAAGAAAAACGCTCATAAATAGCCGTCTAGAGCATTAATCCCCTCATTATATATCTAACCATATCTCATAATGATTTTCAGCAGCGACAACAATAGGAACCCAGTAATGAACAGGAGCACGGCCATGAAACTATAGTGTAATATCTTCAACCTATTCAAAAAGCCAAGATTAGTAAGGGGGAAACTGAAAAATGTTTAACACAACCTACCGCTTTAGCTGTCGTCGTCCACTCTCAAGGGATTCCTGGGTTGGAGGCTCTTTTACCAAGTAAAGTCGCATGCCAAACAAGGCAGACTTGAAATATACCTTCCAGTCGAGAGCCTCCATGTCGAAGTTGTACATTTCCCGATCTTCAATCGACATTAGAGACCTTAGTTTATCAGCGCTCTTTGTCTCGAATTTCCAACTGTTGAACAAAAAATGCTGAATAGCGGTCACATTAATGTGTATTTTTCTATAGAGATCCACCATTCGGGGCTTCTTTCCCACCAAGCGTAGGATCAGATCGAACATATATCCGGGTAGTGTGTGGTAGAAGAAGGCGAGTAAGGTATACAGCCAAGGCTTGTCGACGCAGGTCAAAAATGGATACCAGATCATCTTATTTATCGGAAACTCCTCCCGATGGCTCATTCCGAGCTTAACGAAGTCCGTATGTTTAAGCAAGTTTGAGATACTCGGCGCCAGTGTGAATATGGGCGGTTGTTCCTTCGGGTGTCGTGCAGTGCCCTTTTTGGCGGTTTGCCAGATGCTGGCCAATGCCATATTGGCGCAGTAGTCCACAGGCACAAAACTGGTGACACCCTTCTTGTCAAAGCCAACCAGTCGTATAACTCCATGGGCTATTCCGTACATAAGGGTAATCGGTCCATAGAGATTATCCATCCATCCGAAAACAGGTTCCTTGTGGCTGGCAATAACTTAATATAAAGGACAATAATTCAAGTGTTTAAACTCACAACGAAACTTGTTAAAGGCACACTTACTAATTGCCGGGCGAAAAACACTCAGGGGAAGGTCTCCCGCTTCTCTGAGGATCACATCCTCAGCCAGGGCCTTCGAGTACGTGTAGGTATTGGGGAAAGGTCCAACGAGTACGGAAGACATACTGTTCATCATTTTGGCTCCCACTATCTCAGTCATGGCCAAAATTTTCTCCGAATTGAGGTTTAAGAGTTCGGGATAGAACCTCTCTTCGATGTGAAACTCAGGGCAGTTGGAGAAGGCCGAGGAGATATGGAGAAAGGCCTGGAGGTGCTTCATTTCCTTAGCCAGTTGAAGCATCAGCTTAGTGGCTCGCGTGTTGATGGTGATAGCTATGTGAAGGGGCTCATTGAACCTCACCGTGGCAGCTCCATGGATGAAGATCTGCACCTCGGAGGCCAGGAGCTGGCGATCCTTAACGCTAATGCCTAAATCGTGCTCGAGACAATCGCCAGCGATGGTAAAGACTCGCTGAAGTGCCTGGGGCTTCGACTTGAGCAGGACTTCGAAGAGCTAAAGGGACATTAGCACTACATATATATCTCAATTAAAACTGTTATTTGTCTCTCACTGGATCCTTTTGCCAATTCTGAAATCGTGTCTGAATATCCTGGTTTCGTTTGGGCCTAACCATGGCGTATATACGTTTCACATCCGTAGCTCGCAAGAGCTTTTCAATAATCACTAGAGGCAGTAGAACAATGAATCCCAAGGGATTTAAATGGAATCTCACGGGACGCACCTCTTCCCAAAAATCCGGTGGCTCCCGTTAGATACACGACCTTGTCTTTGTAGAAATCCTGAATACCGCACTCCATTGTTGGGCCTAAAGCGTACGCCTCCGATGCTTGCGACTTGTAATGCTTTTCAATGAGAAATAAGTATAGCTTGGCCGTGCTGCTTATATATAAACATTCTGTGCCACCCGAACTGTGATCCGGTCAATTATATGCAAGCCTAAGCGAAGCAACCTTTGGAATACTATTAAATCAACTTAAAACGGAACCCTATTCCGGTTATGAAAGCCTAAAAATGAAGGGCTTTGACGATCTAATTAATTGGTATATATATTGGAATACAAATAAATAAAGGTATTTATTGGAATTATTTATTGGTATTTATTAATTAAGTTTGAGGTACTTATATTACGTTATATAATAGTCATTGCAAAGTAAAATTTAATTAATAATTTAAATGGTTTCGTGAGTAATCTTCTGAAATTACTATTAAATCGATCGACTTACCCTTAATTCATAATTTTATGAATATTCATTAAATATTTAACTATGCATGGGTAAATAAATTATATTTATAAAAGCACCAACCTAGAGGTTACGCTATTGATTGGACACCACTCAGTGGTTCAATAATTCGGAATATATTAAAAACAGTAAAGCAAATGTTAAATGAAATATATAAAGCAATCGTAGAATTAAAGAGAAAAATTGCTTATTGTGTGCGCCTTTTTTTAAATCTCTTTATCAAAATATAATGTGATTTTCTTATATCTAAATATTTACCCTTTTCCAGAGGTGCAGCGCCAAACGAACTTCCTTCTATCTATCCTTAAATATCAGTTTAATTTTGTGTATATGATTGCTTACTCTAAGCCGTAGTTCTAAAAGTGAACTGAAGACATTTAATATTTTGCGCGATGGAAAATTAAAGCTACTGACCCATTGGTCAACAAGTCTGAACTTATGGAAATCGTAAAGCTAAGTAGCTAAGTATCTCATAAAGCTGAGTAGCACGAGCTTACTTCGTGTGCTAATCGGATTTAGATCTGCATACATACACACATTTTTTATTTCCTAATTAAAATATGGATCAACATTTGATCAATCTGAGATACTACTTTTGGTCATATTTTAGACAAAAGAATCATTTAAAATATTTTTTAAATAAATTATATTTAATTCCATATTAAATACAATCCAGAAATGAAATTGAAAAGAGATAACAAGGGTTTGATTAGTAGGTAACTGATTCACAGATATTCCAAAATCGTGGTTCTGTCAATAACACCAAAGCTTTCTGTATTGCTCAGTTCATGTAAAATACCTATTTTAGAATTATACACAATGCGTGCTGCCCAAAAGAAGACTACTTAATTTGAGTCGGTAACTGTTCCCTCGCATCTTTGAATACTCAGATAATTTTAGCGTGTAGTAAATAACTGAATATATATTTAACCTAAGAAAACACAAGGGAATTATAGTCACACATCTGTCTCCGCGAACTCAAATGAAAAGCTTGGCCAATCTCCAAATGCCGTATCCAGCGCCAGTGGCCAAAGAGATCGAAAGGACACAGTGCAGGACCTTAAGACTACAAAGGAAGATGGTAGTAATGAGGGTAAACGCATAATCTAATACTAAGCCTTACATATTCTTAAGCCTCAGAGCCTTGCTTATGGACTCCTGGGTGTTTGGGTCCTTGGCAATATATAGTCGCATGCCAGCTATGCAACATCTTAGGTAGTCGGTCCAGTCCAAAGGAACCATGTCAAAGTCGTACATGCTGCGATCCTTCTTAGACATCGCCTCTAACAGCCGTTGGGTATTCGACATGCCAAAGTGAAAGGTGGTATTGGAGAACAGTCGTAAGACGTTTATATTCTTGTGTATTTTTTGATACGTTTTCACCAGAATGGGCTTTCGGCCCGAGAGACGCAGCAGCATATCGAGGAAGTAGCCGGGAATAGTGTGGTAAAAGAATGCAGCCAGCGAAAAGAGAAAGGGGGGAATCAAGAGGACATACGGGTACCAGAGCATCTTAGTCAGAGGGGTACGGTCTCGATTCATAACCAACAAGTCGATAAATGACTTCTGAGTTATCTCATTATTTTCGCTGGGAGCAAATTGATAAATTGGAGGTTTTTCTGGCTTACCACCTTGGCTAGCATCTACTCCCGTCTTCCAGGCACAGGTCAGTGCCAAATTGCTGCAATATTCTGCCGGAACTACGCTGAGCATAACATTAGGATCTGACATGACGACCCGCACAACACCGCGAGCTCCCCCATAAGCCAGGGCCATCGGTCCGTACAGATTGTCCGTCCATCCAACGACGGGGTCCTTGTAGGTAGACATAACTGAGAGCAGCTAATTAACAGCGTCATCGTATCCTTTTTTTATTTACTTACTGATCGCCGGACGGAACACGCACATGGGCAGGTCACCGGCCTCCCTCAGGATCACATCCTCCGCCAGAGCTTTGGTGTAGGTGTAAGTGTTTGGAAAGGATCCTATCAACGATGTCGTCATGCTGTCTATCGTCTTATTACTCAAGAGCTCGCCTAAGGCCAATATCTTGTCCGAACTATCCTTCAGATGCTCCGGATAAAACCTCTCATTGATTTCAGTCACCACGCAGTTGGAGTAAGCGGTCGAGATATGGACGTAGGACACCAGTTTGGTCATCTGTTTGGCCAGCTGAAGCATTAGTCGGGTGGCGCGCACGTTGACAACCAAGGCAAGGTGCAGGGCCTCGTCGAAGCGCACGGTGGCTGCTCCATGGATAACCACTTGCACCTCGGAGACCAGCAACTTCCGGTCCGAGTCACTTATGCCCAGATCCGGGTCAAGGCAATCGCCAGCGATTGGATGGATTCGGTGCAAGGCCTCCGGCTTGGCCTTTAAGAGCTCCCCGAAAATCGGGTCCTTCTCCCAGGCTGAAATACGATCTCCAATGGACACTCCGCGTTTGGGTCTCAGGAGCGAGTAAATGCATTTCACCTCGGTTGTCCTCAGGAGTTTCTCAGTCAACACTGAAAGCCATAATCCAGTAACTAGCAGAAATGTTTTACAAATTCGGGATACCTTTTCCTAAAAATCCAGAGCCACCAGTAAGGAAAACTGTTTTATTGCTGAAGAATTCTTGTATTCCAGTATCCATGTTGCTTATGTGTTTTTCCTTGGGTGCTGCCCACGCCAATCGCACAGAATAGACTGAAAAGCAATTCTAAACTGTCGGTGCTCTTTATTTAAAATTCTACTTAGTAGGAAAAGCAAAGGCAAAATTACATAATTTCGGCGCGTGCATGGATTAGAGGTGAGTTTTCTGCACTTCATTTGGACGACTCAATGAATTAACATGAAGAACTTGATTGGTTTTTCAATAGATGGCTGTTTAAGTGCATTTTAGTCAAGGGAATTTTTTGTCAAATGATTTGAAAGTTTACTGTTCAATGTTTTTTTTTCTATTTTTTATAGAAGAATGTTCTTGATCGAGGTCCCATCGCTAAGAGAACGTAACATTTAATTAGATTATAATAAAACCTAAAGTCGAGGAATTAGGTAATTAGTTTACGTATACGGAAATACATACGGAATACATTTCAAAGCTTTTTAGAATTTTTGAATATAGCAATGTAATGCCAAGTGAATTATAATCTGTGAATTATAATCAAATGGGTTTTGAGTAAACAAATTAGTCAAAATGTATGTATTAAAATAAAATTGGAATATACTTACATACTATATTCTCATTCTAGGTTAAAAAATAACTACAACAGCATATAATAAATCAAAAAATATAGGGTAAGGTGGGGTAAAGCCGACAGTGTGGGTAAACCCGACCTCCCTCTGTTTTCGAAAATCGGAAACACTACGCAAACTAATATTAGTGTTGTCGTGTAGAGCATCGAAAACAATGAAAATGGTGGTATGACACCATTTTATTAGTCAATATTGAGATGGTCAAACGACAACAAGTTTGTTTTGACAACTTTAAGTTTCATTTTTGTGCATAATTAACTGCAGGATATTTCTTTTTGTCAAAGTTATCGCATGAAAAGGTAAGTGGATTTAGATTCTTTGAATAAAGTCCTACAAAGTGCATATAAGTTTGGTTCATTTTTTTTCATAATTTCTTTTTTAATTGCGTTTTTATGAAAAATTACGTGGTGGGGCAAATCCGACCTCTAAATAGTGGGGTAAATCCTGCCGCAAAAAAAGCCAAAAAAACAACAATCACACCAAAACCATTAACATTGCAGCCAACCAGACGTTCAACTCGAACCAAAAAACGCCAGCAAGCTATTTGAGCAGCGAATCAGATGATACTGATTAATTATTTTGCTATTTTCATTTTTTTAATTCTATTATCTTTTATTATCATTATATAACATAACATTGATTGATTTATCATTGCAAAACCTATATTTAGGTTATATCTGTTCTAAATCAACCAAAAACATAGGCGGTCGGGTTTACCCCATCATTTTTGAACATAGCAAAAATGAACTTTTTCGTATTTTTTTATAGCCAAAACCATTTACTAGGTCGGCTTTTCCCCACCTTACCCTATATTTATTCATATATTTTCATATTTTCAAAAAATCCAGTTCAGTAAATAACAGAGTTTCTACCCCTCCGGAAACTTAACCAATAAAAAGCTTCGCGAGAATCCACATTCCGTAAGCAACTGCCGAGCCCAAAAACATCACAGATACATAGTGAAGAACCTTAAGCCTGAAAGACAAATACCTAGATCAGCAAGCCGAAATCAAATAAAATTATAGATCTCACCGATTCTTGAGCTTCAGGGCTTTGGCAATGGACTCAGCGCTATTTGTGTCCTTGGCAATATACTTTCGCAAGCCATGTATGGCACATCTGAGATAGTCGTTCCAGTCCAGATCGGCCATATCAAAGTTGTAAAAGCTGCGATCGTACTTGGACATCGCCTCCAACAGGCTTTGGGTGTTTGCTGTGCCAAAGTTAAAGGAGGTGCATGCGAATGGACGCAGGAAGGCGAAGTTTTTGTGTATTTTTGGGTACAGCTTTGTCAGGATGGGCTTGCGGCCCATGAGGAAAAGTAGTGCATCGAAGAAGTATCCCGGAAGGGTGTGGTAAAAAAAGGCGGCCAACGGGAAAAAGGGGGGAGAAATACACAGGAGAAATGGGTACCAAATCATCTTTGTTATCGGGGTCAGATCGCGATGTATGAGTGTTTTGGAGATATAGGTACCAAAGCTTATCGTATTTTTCTCGCTGGGAGCCAAAGTGTAAATAGGAGAATTTTCAGCATCACCTTGCTTGACAGGATTTTGTCCTGTTTTCCACGCACAGGCCAGGGTCACGTTACCACAATAATCGGCAGGAACCATGCCGATCTTGGCTTTAGATTCCACCATCACGGCACGCACCACTCCGCGAGCAGCGCCGAATACAATTGCCATGGGCCCGAAGAGATTATCCATCCAGCCAATTACGGGGTCCTTGTAGGTGGGCATAACTGAAATAGGCAATTTCCAGTTTCACAGTTCAGGGTATCCTCAATAACGAAAACTTACTGATCGCTGGTCGGAAGATGCACAGGGGCAGGTCACCCGCCTCCCTCCGGATGAAGTCCTCCGACAATGCTTTAGTGTAGGCGTATGTGTTCGGGAAGGATCCAATCAAGTAAGATGTCAGACTGTCCATTCTCTCATTACCTAAAATATTGCTTATTGCCAGGATCTTATCTGAACTGTAGCTCAGGTTCTCTGGATAGAACCTCTCATCGATTTCAGTCACCACACAATTGGAGTAAGCGGTTGAGATATGGACGTAGGACACCAGTTGGGTCATCTGCTTGGCCAGCTGCAACATCAGCCGGGTGGCGCGCACGTTGATGGCCAGGGCGAAGTGCAAAGGCTCGTCGAAGCGCACGGTGGCTGCTCCATGGATAACCACTTGCACCTCGGAGACCAGCAGCTTCCGGTCCGAGTCACTTATGCCTAGATCAGGGTCCGAACAATCGCCTGCAATGGGATAGATTCGGTGCAGCGCCTCCGGCTTGGCCTTCAAGAGCACCTTAAAAATCTAAAGGGCTGCAGGTGAGATTCAGCCACGTTCTTGGGGCTAAAAACTTACTGGTTCCTTCTCCAAGGATAAGATGCGTTCTTCAATGGACACACCGCGCTTTGGCCGGATGAGCGAATAGATTCGTTTCACCTCGGTTGTCCGTAGGAGTTTCTCGGTAACCACTGAAAGGCATGATCATGAGCTCTTAAAAATTTTAAAATATTCCTAAATACCTTTTCCTAAATATCCCGAGCCACCCGTTAGGAAAATGGTTTTATTTTTAAAGAATTCCTGAATTCCAGAATCCATGTTGCTCAAAAGCGGACTGCACCAATTAGACTGGAAATTCGTTTAAAAGTATCAGCGCTATATATTTTAAATTGTAGAAGCAGCACCTTGTATAGGTCGAGGTCTGCATTCTAGCAAGGGTATGACTTCGAAATGGGATTATCCGCTACCTGTCAGGAGCCTGAAAATATAATATATTTTATATAATTTTCTAAATTAGAAAAGTTTACATACGCAATATAAAAGTCTATAGGATAAAATTGGCAAGGATTTTTGGTTACAAGGTTATAATAACAGACCTCTCCGACCTATAAATAATGTATACAGTTGATCAACATTACTGTCGGATCGATTTAATCGGCTTCTTGACTCCTATGTATTCTTAATTTTAGTAATTTAGTAATAAGATATATGTATGTTGGATAGACTTGTTGGATTTTGAATATTTTCGTAACTTATTTTGAAAGTTTCGGAGAGACTTGGAAAGATTTTCACTAAATGCCATTTGGAGACTTCATTTTGAATTCAATGCGAACAGTTTAGGGTGCCGGGTATCTCACAGTCGAGCTCACTCCTGAATTTGAAGTGGTACGTGTTAGAAAGCTGTCGAGCTCGAGATTTAAATCGAAGCTTGATTATGCACACAGACGGGACGTAAGCATTGCATTGCATTTATTTAATTCATTTAAAGCTGATTTATATAATATTTTGTGAATTTGTAATACGAATACATTTAAAGAGGAACCAAGCCGTACATGGCTACTGAGACCAACGTGACCGTGAAACCATAGTGAAGGATCTTAAGGCTGGAAAGAAGGAACATTGATCATCAAGCAGATCGAATAACAAAGAATGGAACCTACCGCTTCATGAGCTTTACAGCCTTGGCAACGGACTCCTCGGTGGGCGGCTCCTTGCCCATATACTCTCGCAAGCCATCCGTGGCACCATAAAAATACTCGACCCAGTCCAGACGGTCCATGTCAAAGTCGTAGATGCTTCGATCCCGCTTGGAGATTGCATGCAGCAGTCCCGTAGTGTTTTCCATGCCAAAATTAAAGGTGGTCCGTGTGAATGGGCCTAGGATGGCAATATTCTTGTGTATTTTTCGGTACAGCTTTGTCAGGAAGGGCTTGCGGCCCATAAGGAGAAGTAGTGCATCGAAGAAGTATCCCGGAAGAGTGTGATAAAAGAAGGCAGCCAACGGAAAGAGGAAGGGGGGAATGCAGAGGATAAAAGGATACCACAGCATCTTGGTTAGCGGAATTCGACTGCAATGAGCGTATATTGAGTGGACGAAAGTACCGATGCTCATCTGGTTTTCCTTGCTGGAAGCCAACGTGTAAATAGGAGGCTCTCCTGCCTCGGCTAGTTCTCGAGAATTTCCTCCAGCGTGCCAGGCACAGGCCAGGACTGCGTTACCACAAAAGTCAGCCGGCACCATACTGATGATGACTTTGGGATCTACCATGACGACCCGCACTACACCGCGAGCTGTGCCAAAGATAAGGGTCTGGGGTCCATATAAATTCTCCGTCCATCCAACGACGGGGTCCTTGTAGGTAGGCATAACTAAGGATAAGTTAGTTGCAGCGCCAGATTCTGGGGTATCCTAATTTATTAACTTACTGATCGCCGGTCGGAAGACGCACAGGGGCAGGTCACCAGCCTCCCTCCGGATCACATCCTCCGCCAGGGCCTTGATGTAAGTGTAAGTGTTTGGAAAGGATCCTATCAACGATGTCGTCATGCTATCTATCGTCTCACTACTCAAGAGCTCGCCTAAGGCCAATATCTTGTCCGAATTATCCTTCAGATGCTCCGGATAAAACCTCTCATTGATTTCAGTCACTACGCAGTTGGAGTAAGCGGTCGAAACATGGACGAAGGACACTAACTGTGTCATCTGCTTGGCCAGCTGCAGCATCAACCGGGTGGCTCGCACGTTGATGGCCAGGGACAAGTGCAGCGCCTCGTCAAAGCGCACGGTGGCTGCTCCATGGATAACTACTTGCACCTCGGAGACCAGCAGCTTCCGGTCCGACTCACTTATGCCCAAATCCGGTTCCAGGCAATCGCCGGCGATGGGAAAAATTCGCTTCAGGGCCTGGGGCTTGGCCTTTAGGAGCACCTTGAAAATCTAAGGAGTTTCGGGTTGTAACTGACCATGGAGCTGAGAATATTAAGGACTCACCGGTTCCGTCTCCCAAACTGAGGTGCGTTCTTCAATGGACACACCACGCTTTGGCCGGATAAGTGAGTATATTCGTTTCACATCGGTTGTCCTCAGGAGATTTTCGGTAACCACTGAAAGGCATGATCATAAGCTCTTGAAATTTTTAAATTATTCAGAATACCTTTTCCTAAATATCCTGAGCCTCCCGTTAGGAAAATGGTTTTATTTTTAAAGAATTCCTGAATTCCAGAATCCATGTTGCTTAGAACCGAGAGACACGGTATTTCGCGAGTCGATGAACTAATGAGAACGGAAAGTCTTTCGAAATGCCAGTTCTATTTATGTTGTGGTCAACAGCTTACACTTCACAAAGAGCAAAGACCCGGCCTACGGTAGATTTAAATTTATTCTGCGAGAAATTAAATACTCTGAACAATTTACATATATTACTGCATTGTTAACCCTTTAGTGCCATATAGCAGACTTTACATGCCGCAATAAACATGTAAGCAGTCGGGTTCACTATGCATTAAAACCATTTAAAACTCAAAGTCTTTCGGTTCGGATGCATTTAAATGAGAAAGTTATTGTGATAATATAGATTAGAGTATGTGCGTATTTATTGTAATAAAATAAATATTGCGAAGTTAAGATATATTTCGTTATCTCTTTTTATTATAGTTTTTAAAGCGGATAAACCTAAAGTCGCGATATCAGCACGGCAGCATTGATCTTTTGACATTGTTTTCAACTCAAACAAAAATATATTCCTATCTATATATTCATTTACATGCATTGATAAATATTTGCTTCTAAATTACAGTACGAGTTTTAGCAAAAACCACACAGCAGCTGCGGCCACAGAGCACAGGCAGAACTGCAGGATATGATGGAACAGCTTCAGCCTGTAAGGAAGATTAACTTATTAAAGGAAAATAAATAAGTGAAAAGTAAGAATCTACCGCTTGATCACTTTCAGGCCTTTGGCAATGGACTCGGGAGTCAGTGGGTCCTTGCCCAGAAATACTCGCATGCCTCCGAGGGCGCTTTGGAAGTACTCCTTCCAGTCCAGGCTGGCCATGTCGAAGTAGAACAACTTCCGATCCGCCGCCGACATTTGATTCATCAAACGATCTGTGTTGTTCGTTGCAAACTCCCAGCTCTTGCACGAGAAGGGCCCCAGAATGATGAGGGTGCTGTGTACCTTCTGGTAGATTTTCACCAGTCGCGGCTTTCGACCCTGAAGCCACAAGGCCAGATCGAAGAAGTAGGCGGGCAGGGTGTGGTAGAAAAAGGCGGCCAGGGGGTACAGCCACAGGGTCGTCATGCAGTGGAGAAAGGGGTACCAGAGCATCTTGGTCAGTGGGCACCTCATGCGCCCGTCTAGAGCGTGGTTGATAAACTCGCCATGCGTGAGCTTGTTACCCTCGCTGGGCGCCAACTGGTAGATGGAAGGTGGCTCCTTCTCCTTACGCTCGACATTGGTGGTGCGCCAGGCGCAGGCCAAAGCTAGGTTGGCACAATAGTCCACTGGCACCAGGCTGGCTTGGGCCTTGACGTCTATGGTGGCGATTCGCAGCACTCCACGCGCCACTCCAAACAGAATGGCCATGGGTCCGTACATGTTGTCAATCCAGCCGCTGGTGGGCTCCTTATGGGCCGCAATAACTATGATGGATAAACTTTTTGTTTTGGGATATTCATTCTTAAGGATGCAGTTGACTTACTGACGGCAGGCCGAAAAACACAAAGAGGCAGGCCACCCGCTTCCCGCAGGATTACGTCCTCGGCCAGGGCCTTGGTGTAGGTGTAGGTATTGGGAAAGGATCCAAGTAGCGCAGGCTCCATGCTGTCCAGCAGCTCGTCACTTACCAGGTCACTCAATTCTAGAACCTGCTGGGAGCTGCAGTTGAGGAGCTCGGAGTAGAACTTCTCCTTGATGTCCTGAATGACGCAATTGGAGAAGGCTGTGGAGATGTGGACAAAGGCCTCCAGTAGTGTCATTTCCTTGGCCAATTGGAGCATCAGTCTTGTGCCTCTGGTGTTGATGGCGAGGGCAGTGTGAAGCGGTTCGTTAAACCTTACAGTGGCAGCTCCATGGATGACAAATTGCACCTCGGTGGTCAGGAGTCTTCGATCCTGCTCACTCAGCCCGAGATCAGGCGCCAAGCAATCTCCAGCTATGGGACAAATTCGCTGAAAGGCCTCCGGCCTCTCTCTGATCAAGAGGTCAAAGACCTTTATCCAAGACGAGACTCGGGGTGTGAGATGTACTCTGCGATTTTGCAAACCTTTTACTTACCGGTTCCCTCGACCATGTGGTGATCCGCTCATCGATCTTCACTCCACGCTTCGGCCTGACCAATAAGTATACACGTCTCACTTCAGTGGTTCGCAACAGTTTTTCAATGACAACTTAAATGCAGAACAAAGTGAACTCAACTTAATTTTTGCTGCTTAAATTTACGCCGCACTTTGAGCTTTACATTTCGGGTATATATGCAGGTCAAATACCTTTTCCCAAAAATCCGGTGGCGCCCGTTACGAAAACCGTTTTGCCCCTGAAACACTTTTGAATATCGGTATCCATGGCATGCGTTTAATTCGTTGCAGGAACTTGTAAGTGGCGGAAAACAGTACATGTAAGGGAAAACGTCAGTTTCAATGTGAAGCCCCTTCAAGGGGCTCCGCTTATTTATACAAAAATTGGATTCATTCGTACAGTGAACTACGCCGCCAGGGGTGGAGGAGTTCAATCTATATTCAATTGCATTTCAAAGATACGTTACGTCAAAGGGTTGCCGTCGCGTCGCCCTTGGCCATATCGATGCAGGTAATATTGTGTTCATAGCTTATTACAAGGAAGTTTTCTTTTTTAGTGCACCCCTAATAGATACATTTCCTTATGAAGTGAATATACAGGGGATTTGTTAACCAAATGCTTCTTGGAGAGCGTCGAAGTTCAGACTTAAATTAAGTTGTACTAGTACACAGTGTGTCTGAGAACCACTTGTGTGTAATATATAATTTCTGGTTGATGTACTGGTACAATTAGTTGGGCGGTATGAATAAATTGGCTGACCTCGGGCTATTACTATATTATTGAGCACTTCATATACCATATCTGTTTTTTACAAAGTAATACACATATAAAATGGACTTTTTATATTATTTTACTTTTATTTAGGTATTATATCCAATACTTTAAAATTATAATTTAATAATTTATAAGTATATAGATTCGAAAATCGTTATTTTGAAATTAGAAAAATATATATGTATTCATGTATACGTATATATAAAATAAATTCATTTTTTAAACAAGAACCTAACTTAAAAAATTAAGTATTTTGATAGTAAAAAATTAAACAATTTTAATTAAAACCTTACTATGTTTTAAGATTGCATTTTTTAAGATTTTTGGCTCTTTCTTTATAAGTTAAAAAATAATATTGAGTGCGAACATCGTAAATTGAAAATTGTAATTTATATCTTGCAAAAATTTAATTTAATAAAATAAATTTACCAAAAATATATATTCCAATAATTTTTAAAATAACCCGAAATCGCAAATGATTAAAAAAAACGGCTATATTTTTGAGTTGTTCACTTTTAGCTAGAGTGGCTGCACTGATTGTGCTGATAACAGATTTGGTGTGACCAGCGGTTGCGGCAATCAGCTGTCAAAAGTTGTGTAATTTGTTGGGGGCAATGGCATGTGCACGGAAAGTGTTTTCTCGCGTTTTTCTGAATAACTCCCTGACCGCCAGCCGCAGCATCAGCATGTCCGCCAGCCGACGCGCCGAGCAGGCCATCGACAAGCTGAAGGAGGAGAACCCCTTCTACTCCAAGTACGCGGGCAAGATTGCCAAGCTGCAGCAGACGTCGGCGGAGGAGTTCCTGGATCGGGTGGAGCGTGTCGTTAACCCGATCAAGGATGGCCGCAGCCAGGCCAGGTAAGCGGAGTGCTTGAAAGAAGCAACCATGGGCTAATCCGTACCCTTTACAGATCCTATTCCGAGCTGCTGAACCCCAAGGAGAAGCTGCAGGCCAAGGAGCAGGGCGAAATTCCCCACAAGAAACTCTCGGACATTATGAAGCTGGAGCTGCTTGCCGACAAGAGTGCAGAGGAGCTCTCCCAGATCTGGCTGGAGTACCACAAGACCAAGGAGGTTCTGGCCGCCACACTGACCACCACCCAGTATGAGACCCTCATGTCGCGGGCCAAGGAGCACCCCGTCTTCCTGCTGCCGCTGCCAAGGAGCGAGGGCTTCGAATTTATTATGCTTCAGTTCTCCGCCAACACTGTCCACTTCACCCCGCTGCTGGCCTATCAGGTGCACCACGAGAACGCACCGGAGTGCCTTACCCTGGTGCACTACACAGAGGTCGAGGACAAGGGAGTGGTGCTGATGCGCGGCGAGTACGACAGCAAGGTACTGACCGCCCAGGAGGCACAGTGTCTGGCGAACGAGTTGCAGATGTTCTACCTGAAGGCCGACGAGAGCAAGCTGCGTCTGCTGGAGACCTTCACCCGGAAGCCGGACGAGTTCAAGCACATGGATCTCATCAAGGAGGTGGAGAACATCCAGCTGGCCTAGGCCCTGAGATTGTAGTCAGAATAATAAAAAAGGAAACTCAACGGAAAACATCCCACACACACACACAGAAGCAGAGTTCAGGGCTAATTTTTTGAGGGAGATGGACAATTTCAATCAGGTTATCGACCAAATTGGTTTCGGTAGTATGCATCTGTACGCCACCATTACGCTGGGCCTGCTACAGATGCTGACCATCCACGAAACCATGGGCATGGGCATCATTGGCCCCGCCTCTGTGTGCGATTTGCGGATAAACCAGGTGCAACTGGCCTCGTTAACTGCGGCTGGGTTTTTGGGCATTATCAGCTCCTCGTACTTCTGGGGCTATATCACCGACAAGAAGGGTCGGCGCTGGACGCTGCTGCGCACCATCACAGTGAGCAATGTCTGCTCAATTGTGTCCATGTTTATGGTCAACTTTAGTGGCTTTTTTGTGATGCGCTTTATAACGGGTATTTTGTGAGTATTGGCCGATGGCGTTAATCTTTGTTGCTTCATGTACTCTCTTTCAATCAGTGTGGCTGCTCCCAGCTTCGTGGCCGCAACCTATCTTAGTGAGTTCTGTAGTCAACGGATCTTGGCCCGTACCCTCACCCATATGTATATGTTCACCGGCTTCGCCATGCTCTACTGCCCCGCCTGGGCCGCTCTCTTTCTAAGCACAAAGTTTATGGAGTTCGAGGTGGAGGTTGCTGGGAGCCTGAGCCTGCGACCGTGGCGCATTCTGGGTTGCTTAAACATTCTGCCGGGCGTGATCGCCTTCTTCCTGCTGCTGTCTTTGCCAGAAAGCCCCAAATTCCTCTTCAATATCGGTGACACCGATAAGGGCCTGGCCGCAATGGAACGGATTTGTCACAAGAACACTGGCAAACCCCTTAGTGCCGAGCAGATTCAAAGTTTGCGCATTTACCAGAGTGTGGCGTCTGCCCGGTTTAAGCGGAAAAAGAGCGAATACAACTTCCTGCGCTCGATGATCGATGACGCCATGCCCCTGTTCCGGAAGCCGTTCCTGGGCTTATTCATGGCCGCCTGCTTGGTAATGTTCATCTTGGGTATGATGTGAGTGCAATTCTTGCGCGTTGGAGATTCATAATTTTCCAGCTCCTCGAATCCGCAGGGCAAATGGCCTGGGGCTTTGGTACACGGCCATGCGGAATCGCTACAACATGCGCCAAGGCAACATAAAGGGTATGTCATTTTGCCGGGTCCTCTTCTTTCCCGAAATGCGACCCTTGATGGAGACTGAAAAAGACTTTGAACCGGTAAGATCTGCTTGAAACGCTGCTTCCTTGTTGTGAATATCGAAATGTTTTCCAGGTGTGCAACGATGCTTTCAAGGGCTTCAACGACTCGTTTATCCTGGGAGTCGTTTACATTATCCTGTACAACATTTGCTGGCTATCGCTCTTCTGCGTGCCCAGGAAGGTCATGTTCGTCGTCTCCATGTTGATCTCCTCGCTTTGTGGGTTCCTGCTGATCTTCGTCAAGGACCGGTGGGTGCAGCTCTTCTCGCTGGTATTCTTTCTGGCCATTCCTGGTGCGGTGGTGAGTCTGCTGGGTGGCGCCCTCTGTTTGTTTGTGCCCACCCACTTACGCGGCAAGGCTCTGTGCATCAGCCTGATGTGGTGCCGCTGTGGGGCAGCCTTGGGCAGCATCTTGACTGGTTCCGGCTTCCATAACAATTGTGAAATATCTCTGATTGCGATCGCCGTTTTACCTCTAAGTAAGATCAAGATTTCTGGTGCCTTTTCAACAGTTTAATACTCATATGTATCTTCTACTTCAGTTGCAGTTGGCACGGAGGGGTACTTGCCCATGTGAAATAGGGTTTCTTATGTTTTTACAACATATGTGTATCTTCATCGAAAATCATTCGTATTTATATTTTGTGTACTTAGCTGGAGTAAGGGTAGTTTTGGTGGCAAAATTGTTAAAATTTCAGTACCTCCTTTCGTCGCATCGCCGAAAACTAGGCAGCGAATTTTAAAATTGATTCTGTAAAATCAACGTTAATGTTTATGTAAAGTAAAATAATAGAATGGTCAACTAACAATTGATTAAAGCCCATGTATATAAATTTATAATATATATGTATCAGATGATAAAACAAAACAAAACCACATGAATATTGCACTCTTTATTTGGATTGTAGGATCACCAATACGATTATTTTGATTATTATTGTTTATTATTACATCAGCTAACATCGAGACTAGAATAAATACTTAACTCAGCTGCAACTACCACTGGTTCGTGCCGACTCGCTAAACTATTGCCCCGATAAAAATAAGTTAAACGATAACGCGTGTGCTTAGAATTAGACTCATGAGTTGGTTGACGTTGCCAAGGTCGCCTCGATTCGGGTCTAATACACCTCCTCCTCATCCAAGGCGCGGACCTGCAGGATATATCTGTATTTTTCCGTCATCACTAGATTACTCTCCTGTTACCAATTCCCCGCCGCTGTTGATACTCTTGCCCAGATTAAAGTTGTTTTCCAGCTCGCGGTTCCTCAGGATTTCCATCAATCCACCCCGCTTTCCGAACCGCACCCGGGCCCTGTCGCCGTAGTAGGTGTCCAGGTCCTGCAGGAACTTGTACGCATCCGCCATAGTGTTCACGTCGTTTTTTCGCGGCGGCCGGGAGTTGGAGGCCTCCACACTGCAGCCGGCGCAAAGGAGGGACAAAGCCACGCAAACAATCAAGATGCAACGCATTGTGTGACACATAATCCTAGGAGGGGAACAAGTGGTGGATGATGAAGTATTTATGGAGAAATAATATAGAATGGGACTGGTGAAAGGGAAAGAAGCAATCTAAGCAAAGTAATCTAATGGTTATAAAGATGTGATTACATTTGCTATAAACCTTATTTCTCTTTATATTTCAAGGATAATTATTCCCTTTTTTTTAACGATTATTTAATTAAGTGAAAATTAAAACACGTTCTAGTAATTACGTACTTTGTGTTTTTCCGTAACCCATAGACACACAGAACTGGAAAAATATGTAACCCAATTACGTGAATTAAGTGATTTAGATCTAGAATTGCCCGGCGACCTATTTAGAGGTCTGGGTCTTTGTAGGGCCACGGTTAATAGCCGGCAATATTGTATGCTAATTGGCTGAGACCGGGCTTAGTGATCGGACCAGCCCCAAAGCCGTCATTTAGGGGCGCTATTCAATGATTTTCGGGCGGGACTGACGCAAATACCTAGCACAAAGTAAATATATCTAACAAACATGGGTATTATAAGGCAGAACCCGGCAAAGGATCCAGCCGTGAGTCATTGCCTTATGACTTTAACACTTCTGAGAAAGCGGATTTATTTACCCGGCTCGGCTTAAGTCACAGATAATTGCTCGAGTGCACTTTCTTAAGTTGTTTTTGAGGAAATAAGTCTGTGTTGTTTTTTCTGTTTTTCCGCACTGACGGCACGTCAGAATTGCTTACCTGATCGAAAGTATGAATCTGAGTATTTCACGGCGGAATCAGCGCAATGCTTTCGTTCGACGGAGTGTGTATTCAGCGGACGCAACCGTAGTTAAATGTTGGCTCAGAGCCATTGGCAACAGGTATTTATAGGAGTGGCTGGCAGAAGGATATGCTGCCTCGGCCTAATCGAGGCCGATCCACCCACACAGCAACCTCCAGTTCGCGAGCGGACGCGAACGGAGATTGACAAAACGACGCGAAACGAAAGTTGCCCGCGAAACCCCTGAAATATTTTCATATGCAGGCTAATTATGTGGCTGCTGCTGTGCCTGAACTTTTGCAGCAGCTGGAACGGATGGGCCATCCGGCAGTGGGAGTGGGGACTCGGTTTCAATTCGGAATGGGATCCGGAGTGGCCATCCGCAGTATGGAAATGCGAACGGAGATTGCCCGACTCTAACAAATAGTGACAGTTGGCTAACGAGATATCGGGAGCCGCGCGGCTATCGGGAGCAGCGTTACGCATAACTGAATAAATGACAAATTTTCGATAAGAAGGATTAGTACTGCACCGAACGAAATAAGGTAAGTGACTCTGGTTAAACAAGAGGAACAAATTAATTATTAAATATATTATTATCATATTTATTTATTTATTATAATTAAATATGGCTCAAAACTCTTTTTGAATAAATGTTTATGCACCTTTTGGTGCCTTCCCTTAGGGGTCCTAAAGTACCAATGGATGCATGTTTAGTTTTTTAAAAATAACAGTTCCATGACTTAATTTTAGTATTAAATTTCTAAGCTTTTGCTTTGTCACTTTTATTTAATTTAAATTTTCTTTATTCCACTTTTGGTAATTGATTTTTCCGGGTGTGCCCCGGCTGCCCCACCTGAGTGTGCAGATTACTGATTTATGTGTCCTCAGCCCCACTGCACTCCTCCTTCCGCCTTCGCGTTGGCGTCACTGTGTCATTAATTATTGTATTTTGATTATTGTTTAATAACTGTTGGCTTAGACCGCGACGCTGATTGCGATAGGCGAGCCAATGGGGGTATTAGAGGTGCGCTGCTCGACTTTGCATTGTTGTTTAGTTTGGGGTCAGCATGGTTAAGTAATTTCAGTGGCTATTGCTAGTGCCAATCTGCCATAATATGATTGCGAGGGCTTCGGTGCGTATACGTAATCCACTTTCGCTGCTGGCTCCGAAGCCAGATCCAGAAAAACATGACATCAGAGAGCAGCGCATAGCGTTCTTTTCGCTTGGCGGCTGTTATTAACTTAATATTTGTTATAAGCGTTCTGACTAATTAACGCTTGAGCGAGCTATTACTTACCTACTTGTTTTTTTGTCATCGTCTCTGTGCCGTTGCGATTATCGTTCCAATTACACTCGTTAGACATTCATTTGCGACGGGCGGTAGCGTTTCATATTTAAATCTAATTGCCATGCAGCGCAGTGGTTCCTCATTGTTTGGCTCCAGTTCCAGTTCCATTAACGCCGCCGATATCGGGCACTCGCCCATATATTAATAATTGGAGTCAAGATAGGCGATTATCGGGGAACTCTACGGCCGTATGCTTACCTTGCGCTCACCCGTCCGGCATTCAAACCAGCATCCGCGAATCCGACATTATGTCTGGCCGAAGTCCCCCGATCTCTCATGTTCCACTCTTATTTGTCTACACGTGGATGCAATATGTAAATTATGATTGACAGCATTTAACCCAAGTTTAGTTGCAATGCCAGTTAATTATAGAACAAAAGAAGAAAGGGTTTTGATACGATATGATATTAAAAACAGTGTGGAAAAAGTTTAATTAGAAAATTAGTACAACGATTTAAGTCCAGTATGAAGCTATAGAAAGGCTGTAAAGATTAAGTTATGTTAATTACTCACTCTCGACTTGCCATTAAAAATTTTCCATTTAGATTGGACTTTCGGCTGGAAGAAATTCTACATAAAAAAGGAAAATAAAAACAATTTAATTTAATAACCGCAATTGTTGCACAGAATTGACCTGACCAACAGGTCGTATGAGCTATTTCGCAAGATACAATAAACTTTGTTATGGTTTTCAACAGGCAAGCGTTTAATGAGAAATGCAGTAAGGAGTCTAAATTTAGCTTCAGAGGTCCACCTCTGGGGTGAATACTTACAGCTAATCGGGGAAACCCTGAACTTGTTCAAGGACTCGAGGGTTCCGCATTGATGGTCAAGTCGTGGGGCAACCTTTTGTTTTTCCCAGCAACTCGCAGATGCTCGCTTGTGTATATGCACTCCATTGTTCTGTTGGCAACCGAGTTTGCTGGGCTTTTGTCACCTTCCATGTGCTAAATCGCCAACGTCATCGTCGTCAGAGCCTCAGACAATTCCGGAGCTTGATGCGGCGCTGCAATTACGACAAAGTGCCTTGTTTTTTATACAGTTATTGCCTGCGTTTTCCGGACTACAGTCCGAGGGGGTTCCCTAACTTTCCCAAGCCCATGTCGTGCCAGATTTGTGGTGGCCACACAGTGTATACTTTTGCACGCCACTTTCCAATTTGCCGGAGAACAGTTTCGAGAAATTAAATAGCTTCTCCCGTTTGCGTAGATGTTAATAATTCATCTTCACTGCAATTCGCTGATGCGCCGCTACCCCTAGTGGCTTGTTAAAAACTACTTGGGTTAATTGAGCGTTTAATGTATGCAAAAAATGAGTAAATATACTGTTGGCCCACTGACTAGCTCTCGTTCGGGGCTCCGCTAGTTCCGTTTTGGCTACTCCTCGAACCTTTGGGATTTCCTTAGCGTTGACTTGCGGATTGGCATTAAGACGGTAGCCCAACAATGGGCTCGTTGGCAACTGAATGATAATTATACCTAAAAATTTCACAACTTAATAGCAAAGTTTCCATTTATTTGTGTTTGCTGATTTGTTTAGTTTTCCAAAACTGACAAATATTTATAGGCGTCTAAAGGGTTAGTCAGATATTCGTGGTATTCCACGTGAATTTTCTCGCACGTCGGAAATAGAATTTGGAATAAGAACCAGACTTTTTGGAATTTATTATTATTTGAATGTATCCCCAATTTTTAAGTGTTTTTTATAAATTGCATAATTAATTCGTTAATCATACATAATTTTTATACATATAAATTCCATTTTAATTAGCTTATGTCATAGCATGTTTATACATAAACATAACAAACATTAAACCTTAACTTGAAGTATCATAGGAGTAATGCGCCTTTGTGTCTAGTTAACTTTGTATTATTTATTAGTAACAGGAACACTTGTCTACAATCACCAGCTGGTTGTCGCAATCTTGTTCTTTTTAATAATTGGCTTGTATAATTACTTGTTTAATCAATATGGCTTGTTGAATTTCATTAATTTTCTATGTGTTTGCCAAAATACGTAAATGGAATAAAAGAAGGAATGTACGTTTCGTTGATAAAATCTTCATTAAGTTCTGTGAATATTGTACTTAAAATAATGAATAATCGAAATTGAATACGAGAACTAGTTTTTTTTAATTTAAGGCAGACCAAATGTGCTGATAAAAATGTAATTTTTGAAAACTAAATGAATTTAATATAAAAAACTTCTTTGTTTAAATTAAAAGACATTTTAAAATACAATTGTTAAGAGGGAATTTTATTTGATATTAATTAAGTACATTTTATATAATTTCAATAGTTCTCATTATCAAATCCTTCTAGCAAGAAGGACTACTGTGCCTTATCCAGGACTCAATGTTCCTGCATTACAAAGCTTTTATTGCGGCTTCAACCTGGAGTTCGGAAAACTTTCGGGGAAAGCATAAAAAGCATCTAAAGCGCCTGAAAAGGGGACTTTGGGATGTTGCTGCCCCTGGTGCCATAATGGCGCCCCCGTCGCCATAAACACAAACAACAATTAGTCTGGTAACAATAAATTGCGCCATACATGCCATACGATAGTTAAGCGGGAAGCGAGCTCATTGTTAATTAGGGATCATCAGAGCACTTGACGTATTCTTAAGACTCCGGCCACCGAAAGATTGCCCAGACAATAGGGAGCCATTAAATGCCCCAAATGGGCCAATTCGCAGACAAATGTCTGGCGAAGATGACACTCGCCAGCTCGGTCAGGGATTATCCCAGAGGGAAATAGGTCAATATTATCGGCTCCAGTCCGGTTAAGTGGCTAACTTACTCACCGTGATCGGATAAATCGCAGGGGAAGTGCACGCCATCGATCTGGCTGTCATAAATATCGAACTAAATAGCACACGGATAATTACCTGAACGTTAGTTAATCGTTATTGGCTGCTAAGAATTAGAACTGGGCGTAATTGCGTCAAGAAGTTGCTTTTAATTGCGGCAAATCCTCATACATATGTATGGGCGATCGCACAAAAAGGGCAAGATCACGTGTGCGTGTCTGCTGCTGTGCTCAAGTTGGATTAAATATAGTCATTTGTGCCATTATATTTTTCTGAAATGGCAATTTGCGGGGCTAAGCGATCCGCGAGACAATAGCGAACCCATCTAACCCCGCTTCTGGTGATCTCCCAGCGGTTCTAACCCAAGGGGTTTTGGACCCCGAGGGGTTCACAGCCGGTGACTTAATGCTGTTCGGTGTAGTAATAATATGGGTATATTCATCTAGTGAACACGTGTTATTTAATACAAATATTTAATAAAAAGTCATATACTCTTTAGTTGATATTTCAAGTAAACATTTAAAAAGTAAGATCCACATTTCAGAGTTTTAAAAAGACATTTACCTAAATTTTAGATTATTAATTCTTTTAGAATATACTTTTAATGGTTGCTTTTAAGCACATACCAAAATTCAAAAAATTACTGGTTCTGAGAGATTTTACCAAATTCTCCACTGGATAACGCCCATATGTAGGCAATGATTTAAGCCCTTCAGTGCCAGGTACTTGTAGGGTCGAGGCTCTTAAATTAAGCATTCTCACTTGTTTTGTTTTGGCCAGTTAGGGGGATAGCGTCGTGTGTGTGATTTTAGCCGAGCAAAAACCCGAGCAGAGGCTTAAATGTGGACCGGTTCGTAGAAAGGTTGAGATGCTAGAGCTTGGCTAGCCAGCCGATCTCCGCCAGCTGCTCGGCTCTCTGTCCGAGCTCGAATCGGGGACTGGGCCAAGAGTCCATATAAAGGTCCCCGCTGCAGGCGAGATCGCCGCATTAAGCTGTCAAAATTTGTGAGAATAGGAAGTGCGTGACAGTTCAATTCGAGACAAAGCGAGTCACAGCTCGGCGACCGATATTCTAGCATTCGCGAGAAAAGCAGACAATTTTTAGCAGTATCGGCTAACACCCAGATCGGTGCGGATCGCCAGGAGCTCCACTGTCCGATATTACAAAACGAAGAACTAAACAAACAAACAAACAACAAATTTAAATGAACGTTGAAACCAATTAAACCGCAGCGGGGACATGCAAATTCCCCCTTCGCTATCGGAATTTCAATCCTAATCTGTGGTGCGCCCGACCTGTTAATAGTTTCATTTGCTGCCATAAATAATAGCCCAAGAATTAATTGATTTTCGTCATAAATCAATAACTAACTAACCAACTATCCAACTAACAAGTGCGACCAGCAGGAAAAAATCAGATCAGATCGCTGCGGAGCTCCGACTTTCGAGCCGCTGAAATGAAGTTATTTACCAATAAAAACCAGCGCAATGCAAGTAAGTAGTTCGAGTGTAACTAGCCCCTAAAAAGCCGAAAACGCTTAATCAAGCCGTGCAGACCATTGTCAAAGAGCCAAAGGCCCATAAAAGTTAATTCGAGCCAAGGGAGCTGCCCCCACGCGATCGTTAAAATGTCAACAGAAAATCTCTTGCACAAATATCTCTGCTGCCTCAGATCGCCTAAATTGCAGGAATGGTGCAATGGATTTTGCATGCTAATCAAACCGATACGAGTATATACGAGTAAAGAGTAAAAAAATATACATATATATATATATATATAGGAAAAAAAATCTGTTTCGAAATTTGGCATTCCCATTCCCAGCGAAAATTAGAATGCTAATTAAAATGGGGCTGGTCCGTTAGTAAATTACCCGCAGCTGGCAGCGCACGCGTAAATATTTAATTTTTGTTATTTATGTCCGATACTGGGTACTCATGGACCAGTTCGCGGTTCTAAAGTCCAGCGTTTTTTGGCGGCACGTCAGAGATAATTTGCATTTGGCCAGTTATTGGCTAATAATAGGAATCGAAAATGAAAACAAACAAAACATGAAATTGATATCAAATTGCATTAATTAATGCTTTCTAGTGCCATCTCGTCTCTCGGCCAAAGCAGTTAACATATTTTCAAAGCCAAAGAAGCTCTGACAAATCCGAAAAAGAATCCAATGGCTCGATTTGCATAACAGCGAGTGAGGGACAGCCGCCAAGGGCGTAGGGTTCTATGTTATATAGTAGGTCACTTGTCTCAAGGGTCACTCGATCGGATTAATTGCAAGTCGCTAATGTCTCTCGCCTGATCTCCGGATATTTCAGTAGTAAGTTTATATATAAACTAATTTCGAATTAACGGATCTGGACGGCAGTGCAATTAAGTTTGCATAAATTAAGATTTGAAATGAAATCGGTTGTGACTGAAAATGTCACGTATTACCTTACCATGAAGTTCGATGATTTCAATCAGCATAAATACGCTGGGAAAACTGAAGGTGAACGCGATGATTGCCCAGTTCCATGATATGGCGCACACTCTGATGTTTTGGTATTAACTTTTATATTCTTCTCAAACAAAACAAACAAAAAAACAAATAATAATAAATAACGAGATAAATAAAAGAAAAAGATGCTGACAGATCAGATCGAACAGATCCGAAGCCCCCCGAATCGGAGGAGTGACTTGCACTCCCGCAGATGCTCTGAGAAATTCCTAAGAACGCTCCAACTAATTTGACGCAGTTCGCCATAAATCAATACGCGATCTACAGCTCAATGATCGCTAAACAATGCAAATAACAGCTATTGTACGGGCATTAACAAAAGCGATACAAAAACAGCAAAAAGTCAGCGAAACCAGCACTAAACATTGTAAGGTGTCCGTTTCAAAGGCGAAGCGAACAAATCGGATCGGGCCTGTGAATTGGGAATTGGAAATTGGGAATCGTCAATTCGGAATAGGGGAAGTTGTAAACTTGGCTCGCTACATACATATTTACTTTTCCTTATTGGCGGGCCTCTAATTGCCACGCGAGACTTGACTGAGACTATTTAAGGGTTTTGGGTTTTTGGTTTTGGCGATGATTAAAAGCAAATAGAAACAGATCTGGGATTAATCACTGGCTAAACACAGCAAATAGCAGCCAAACAGTCAAACAGGCTAACAGCAAACAAACATCGTCATTACAGCCGGATCGGCGCAAGTCAGCCAAGTACACAACAAGAAAATTAGATTAGTTGCAAATAAATTAATTGAATGCTGCCTGAAGTTAAAATATATTTGAATATAAAGTTAAAAGCATGCTAAATGACTGCAATTTGCACGAGAAAATGACCAATTAAAGTTGTTTAGTCTATCTTTCACTACAATAGTAAATTGATTTAAAGTGCCTTAAGATCTAGTTATAATAAACATCGCGACTACTTCAGTGTCAACAGCACAACAATTTTATTATATTCACCTCTTTATACGTATACTTATTTTCGGGTAATACCCAATTGACGAGCCATTGGCGCCGATTTTAGCAAGCTTTTCTTTGTGTGTAGTCGGTGGATACCCAAGCACAAATCTCAAGCTGGCAAAACGGCTATTTGCCTAATTTATTGTCGTCGGACGGAAGTCACACACACTGGCACACACTCACACCTGCTCGAAGGTGTTGTTCGTGTTCGGTAAGAAACAAAACAAATTCATTCTTGACTTCAGTAGGTCACCGCTGTGACGCTTTGACTTGTCAAAAACGCTTTTTTTTTCCCCTCCGAGCGCCGTGCACTTTTAATATTCAGGTTTTTGACTGCCAAGCCGGCTAAATTGCACCGAACTTGAACTTCAGAGCGCTGCGGAGGCAGCCGTCAGAAGCCAGGCGTCATCTTAAATGTGCACTTACAGAAATTAGTCAAACAAGCAACATATTGATACAAATTGTGGTCTATTAATACAACTTTAAAAACAAAATACAAACAAAGTATTAGTATTATAAATTGAACACCTTAATATCCCCTTTAATCTCGATAGTGTTTTAGTTTTGTGTAGTAACTAATATGTCAGATTCCAGTCTCCGTCGACTGATATTGAGCCGCCTGTTGCCACCGCTGTTGGCTCAAACAAGTTCACAGCTTACTGAATCAGCTGCTGCCATCGAGACAAGCGTCTTTCATTCATGCTGCCTGTGTGTTAGCCCCCAATCTCTCAATCTTTCAATCGTCATCGCCGGCCGATTTGGCTTTGGACTTTGCTTTGGCAATGCAATTGTTGCCCAATGCAAGCTCCACATTTCTGCTTGACAGCAGAGTTTTTTCATTTCATTTTTATTTGGACACTTTGCGTGTGGGGTTTTGGCATTGGTCATTGGTCATTCCATTGCAGCAGAATAATTTTGGACCCTTTTGTGTGTGCTGGCCTAAATTATGGGTGGGGTCTATTGATAGACCGGGAATTTTCGGCTGTCATATTCAAGGCAAGGATATGCATAAGTCTACACGGCAAGAAAATGCTAAAGGGCTGAGAGATAAGTTGAAGTTGATTTTAAAATTAAACAAAATTTTATATAAATAAAAGAAAATATTTATAAGATTTATATAAACCTTTTTAATCATATTACAACCCATCATTGCTTCTTTTTTTAAATAAACTATTATTTTCCGTGCATTTTCGTATTTTCTATCAATGGAATATACCTTTATATAAAATGTATATGTTGTGGATTTCTGGTTTCATCGGCGCCGTGCATAATTTGTCATGTATCATCGCTGTTTGTTTTGATTGTGAAGTCTTGAACCTATTTATGACACCAAAGTTGACACCAAAGCGAAATAGCTAATGAGTTTTTGCTGTCCGCTGTTCGATCTGAGCCTCTGGTGCTATGGTGGGATCGTGCCATTTCGGATCGGGTTAGGGGCGTGCTATTCGGCAGGCAGTTCATTGATCTGGGCAGGTGTATACATTATCTGTATCTCTGGGTTTCTATTCCACAGAAAAATCGATCATTTAGGCAAACAATTGTGGGTTTCTCTTTTATTGCGGGGTTGCGCGAATTTGTTCTGATAAATGGTCTCAGATTGTGCGTTTGATTTATGAGCTGCGTGCAAGCAACCGAAAGTGATCTTCACAGAACGATGGCCGTGATCCCTGGAAATCGGTCGGGAGCAGAGAATATGGGTGGAGCGCACTCGACTTTTTACCATATCCGGGCGGATTTCGAGTGCGGAAGCGAAATATCGCCGAGCAAAGACAATAATCTTTGCGGAAGGTGAGCCCCAGGCAGGTGAGACAAACGAGTTTCGGTCGTAAAGTGAGTGATTTCACTTCGAGTAAATATGAGGCGAAGTGCAGCCTAGATTGATATGCTTCGGTTGCCTTTTAATTAATGTTCTAACCAAGGTCGGTGAGACTGGATTTTTATGGCTTTCCCAGGGGGGAAAGTCTTATCTTCTAAGGGTAAACAAAATAAGAAATTAGACACAATATCTCACATTAAATTCTAATAATTGCTTAATAAAAATCTAAGCCTCTCTAAAAGTGGCTACAAATGTATGACAAATTCACTTTCAATGAAAGTGAAAACCAACAGAAGATCTAAGATCTTTTGTCTTGCCAAGTTTTCGAATTAGTGTTACGCTAAAAAGTTTGCGATTTGACAAAACCAGTTGCCAACTCTAGACATATTTTAGTGCCATATTAAAAAGGCATCACATATTTAAGTTGAACTTGTTGGGTTTCCAAGGGCGATTCCCTGGAGTTCTTGGAATTTTTTACGAGTGCACGCCTCGTCACCTTCTCCCGCATCGGGATTATAAAATCGAAGAACGTTCATTGAACCGCAACCATTTTCGGGCATCGTCATCGTCTGCCGGCTGTCAACGTTTTGTTTATGTTTTTTTTTTTTTTTTTGGGCGGGCGCACGGTGTGCGGATGATGTTCCTGCTCCTGCCATTGAGGTAGGTCGCAGATCTCGGACACGCCGCTGCGATACGATCGGAGCGGAGATCCGCCGGCAAGGTCAATGGCATGATGGGCAGGCGCACGCTATTGGCAAACTGGAACTGGAACTGCGGCAAACCAGTTCAACTTCGGCTGTCCGCAGCTCGCATGACTACAACTCAACTATAACTCACTATAACCCGCTGATCTAATTTATTGTCGTTGTAGAGCTGTTGCGTCGTGCCGCCCTGGGCATGACCCTGCTGTTCTTCGGGTCACTGGTCCTGATCGCTGACCCACTGCAGAGCATCCTGGATACGGTAAGTACTTTAATGAAAAATCAAATTAATTAGTTGAGAATTTAAATCAATGAAATACATGTAATTAAATGGCATAATATATATTCTCCTTGCAGCAACTCAGCCTGAAACCTGGCACCATACTCCACCGATTGTGGCTCTTCCCTCCTTTAGATGTCTACATTAACGTTTACATGTTCAACTACACGAATGTGGACGAGTTTACGTCGGGCAGGGCGGACAAGCTGCATATCCAGGAGGTGGGTCCTTATGTCTACCAGGAGGTCCTGAGCAACCACAATGTCACCTACAACGAGAACAACAATACCATCACCTATACGCCGAAGCGCGAATATATTCTGGCACTGGACAGATCCATTGGCGATCCCAAGGTGGACCGCATCCGGGCGCCCAATATCCCTCTGATGGGCGTGACCACTCTGGCCTCCAGCATGTCCATGTTCGCCTCCCTGGGACTGAGTGCTGTCACCCGGCAGCTCGACTCGCAGCCCATGCTGGAGTTAAGTGTTCACGATTATATGTGGGGCTACGAGGATCGCCTGGTGGAACTGGCCGCCAAATTTGTGCCAAGCTGGATTGACTTTTCCAGCTTTGGCATTATGGAGAAGGTAGGTACAAGTTTCTCCTAAATTATATTTTTAGAAGTATTAATTTTAGAAAAATGTACCATATAAAAATTCGTACTTAAATTTGTTCTATTATTCTTTATATGCCATCATACTTGAACCTTTGTTATATGAGTTCTACAAGTTCAACTAAGCACACATTTTAGTCTATAACTTTAAAAGGAATTTAATGATGATGGCTGGTATTTAAATATTAAAATTTTTGTCGCGCTTTTTATAGAAATACATATACAATACTAACACAATCTTGGCAGGATCTTTCGTACAATAAACTAAAGATTTATACAAATTATTGTCTTTAGCTCTTCCGTGAGGGCAACGAGAGCAATGTGTTCAACATGAACCTCCATGAGCCGAAGGATAAATACGGAGTGCGTCTGCCCGATGCTCCTCGAGCCTACACTGTGAACAGCATCAACGGAGAGCGGGGATTCAAGCGCTGGGAATACAACGAAGAGACCAAGTAAGTGCTTCATTTAACCAAGTTTTAAGGCAAAAAATTATAATTGTGTTATCCTGTCAGTGGAACCATGTGCAATCGCATCTGGGGTAGCCACGATGCCACGCTCTTCCCGCTGGACATGGACGAGAACGACGAGTTCTTTCTGTACAGGCGCACCTTCTGCCGGCGTCTGCACGTCAAGTTTAATAGCACCTCCACCTGGAACGGAATCGATGGCTACCGGTTCGACATGCAGCCTGACGCATTCGACAGCTATGCGGATAACGCCAACTCCTCCTGCTACTGCAAGAACAACCGCTGCCTCAAGAAGGGCGTGGGTAGCGTCTCGCCCTGCTACTACAGTGAGTAGTCCTGCAGGAATCAGTTACTGCTTCTTAACTTTTTTAATCAAATTATTTAAAACTTTCTTTATTTTTCGACAGATATTCCCTTGGCCATTACTTATCCGCATTTCACACATGCCGATCCCAGCCTCCTAGAGCCCTTCGAGGGTCTCACTCCGAATGCCACGCGCTTCACCTCCTCATTTGTGGTGCAGCCGGTAAGTTCTTGTAAATGTTACTTTGATATCGTGGGCAGGATAATGACAAATTCTTTGTTTTTTAGCAACTGGGAGCACCGATGCAGGGCACCCATCTTCGGTTGCAGGCCAACCAGGTCGTGGGCAAGGTGAGCTTTAACCGGATGATGGAACCCTTCGAGAACATGGTGTTACCGCTGCTTTGGGTAGACCTTAACATCGACGTTTTGTGCCTGAGCCTGCGGCTGCTCATCCACGGCATCAAGTGGGGCTTTCCGCTGCTGCAGTGGAGCGTGGTCCTGGGAATGCTGCTAGCCGGAGTCTACCAGCTGTGCTGCGCCCTGATGCTCTGCTTCTGGCCGCCGGCCAAGCAGTTCCAGAAGGTAGACCAGGCAGAGCGAGGGGCGGCGGTACAGATAATCGGAGTCCCGGGCTACCGCAAGTCATCGCTGCAACTGGAGATTCTAGAGGAGCAGCACCACCTGCTCTTCGGTGCCGGCAGCCTCATCCCCAAGCTGGCCAAGACGTGATCGGAACGGGAATGGCTACCTCAACGCAAGAAGAGACAACACTGTGATATTTAGGCTTAAGATTCGGTTTAAATTATTGTGCTCATTGGAAACAACTTAGGGAACGTCTTGCCTACGTACTAGTTAACGATAACAGTAATCATAATGGTAGGGATACAGTAAGCAATGTACAGTGGAGCTTTCACTCGATAAATACAGGTCGATAGCTATGTATTCCTCTCGGGGGTCGTCCATATACCTCGCAATCATTGATTATCACTCCAATGGTTTGAAAATGAACTTTCTTCCTTGAACCATTGATTATGTAGGGGAGGTAGTCTGAAGTATGATTGCGTTTTATGTGGACAGTCCCATTGGTGATTTATTAGCTCAGTGGGCGGCGATCGTCTCCTCGATCCACTTCATGTAGTACGAGGTGCGGGTATAGACGTCCGGGAAGCCCTCTAGGGCGCAGCCCGATCCAAACGAGGTGACTCCCACCAGGATCCAGGGGCCATCCCGACTCAACCGGCACTGCAGCGGTCCGCCGGAATCGCCCACGCAGGTGCCACCCTCGCCGTTTAGCTTGCCGGCGCACAGGTGGCCTCCGTGGATATTCACAAAACTGCCGTAGGCATCCTTACACCTGGTCACAGGTAAGAAATCATTCAATAAGTTATTTATTAAATGTAATATAGTCAGGACTTACCTGCCATTCTGGTGTAGTGGCACCTGGGTCTTCAGCAGCTGATTGGACAGATCGCCACTGATGTTGGCCTTGCCCCAACCCGTGGCCACGCAGTCAACGAAGGCCATTTCCCTTGGCTCCTCGCTCACTTTGAGGTGCTTCTGCTCCACGGAGTCTTCTGTATCTCTCCGGGGTCCCAGTTTCATGAGCTTATCGTTCCGTCTCCGGGAGCGCTTAAGGCTACGCGGAGAGCGTTGCGCCATCGCTTGCCGCATCCTGTTAAGGATCTTCATGTTCATCAACTCCCGCATGCTAGGCGCCGTAACATTCCTGTAGCGTCGCCGGCTCTGAACGCTGCGCAGAAAGTTGTCGATCTTCTCGGGCACATCATCCAGCTCCAATTGTTGGAGGAGCACATCTTCATCAGATGGAGATCCTGTAGAAACAGCTTCCGAATGGATAGTGTCCTGCGACTCGGCCAGCATGAAGGGCAGGCAAATGCGCCGTATGTTGGATGCTCTGGCGAGATCCGCCGGCTTTGAGAGCTTCATCAGCACCACGTCGTGCCGGAAGTTGTGGTAGCGGTGGTGCATCACGATCTTCTCGACGGGAATGCGCTGCTCGTTGCCCGATTCCACATCGCGGTCGTGCTCGCCCAGAACCACCGTCCACAGCGGCGGAATGGGCAGGTTAAAGAGATCACTAGATGAATGGATCATCCATTTAATCTTCGATGTGAAACTTGAGTTCAGATGGACTTACTTGTGTACACAGTGGGCGGCGGAGAGGATCCAGTACTGGTGGATCAGCACGGCTCCGCACCAGTGGCCCAGAAAGCCCAGAGACGGATGCAGCAGCTCCAGGGACGCCTGCCAGGGGAATTGGCCCTCATTTGTGGCTGCTCCGGAGATAATCCGGGGTCCACGACGCGCCGGACGACAGCCGCAGTCTGTAGGAGTATATTTTACTTAGTAATTAAGTATTTGTAATAATAAAGATTCTTAATTTTAAGATTTTAGGCCTTCATCGAACTATTATAAATTTAATTTGTGTTAGTTTTAATAATTAAATGGTTTTTGTAATATCTGTTTTTCGCTTTATTTACATATTTGTTTAGCTAATGCCAATGTATTTAAGTCGTAATTAATAGTTTCGCCACCTCTCAATATAATAAATTAGTTTGGAGGTGGTGAGATACCAATTGGCATCGATCAATCATGATAATTGCTATTGTTTCGTTATTCACTTTACAAGTTGTTTGGTTAGCGTTTGAAAATTTGTAAATAAATAACAATAATGTTTATTTACTAATAATTTAATACAATTTATATAATATATATTATTATATTATATATAATATATTATTATATAATTATATTATTAATTATATTATATAAATATATTATATTAAGATATATTTTTATATGCGATAATTTATACATTGGGAGCTACCTTTAAATATAAAAACCAGTTCTTTAAATTATATTTAAATAAATTTTTTATAAAACGCGGAACATTATTATAAGAAATCAGAAAAAAAGTTTTTTTCCATTAGGTTTTTGACCTTTGTTTTCGTTTTCATTTTATTCGCTGTAGGTTATGTATTTTTGCATTTCGTCTCGATGAATATTCATAATAACTGTGAGACGAGACATTGGTAAAGGCAAGAATGATTTTTCTTAAAGGTTTTATGACTTTAGGATTTCCTGATATTATGAAAGCCTTTGGGTAAAATATCTGATATATATTTTTCTTAGACAGATTGGATTCAATTGAGAGATACTTAAATGGAAGCTCAAACTTCTTTATGAAATAGAAGACTTCACTTATGAATGGCTTTATATTTTCTTGATGAATTAATGCAGATTTTCTAATCCTAGTGAACTCACCCGTCTCAAACTGCCTGGAGGAGTGAAGTAGCAGCAGCAGGCAGAGCCATCTCAAGGTCGCGGCGCTGGTCACCGGGGAATGCCAATGCCAGAGCGACTGGGAGTGTGACTGGGAGTGAGGCTGTGACTGTGACACTGATGGCTTCATCATCGGGCAGCTGGCGCAGCTCAGCTGCTCATCGCGCGCATGACTGACCCACAGCGGTCGTTTACGGATTTGTATCTGTATCTCAGTGCTTAGCTTCGGCTTTATCTTTGTCCTGCAGATGCTTTTCATTCACTTTCACTGAGGGTTTCTTCCGGGGGGGAATGGGAACTGGAACTGGGAACGGGAACGGGCTCGGGCACGGGAGCGGAGGTGGAATCGCGACTCCGGCCAGCTGGGCTGCCTAAGTATTATAATTTACGAGACTTGCTTTTCTTTCCACGACTGCGCATTAATTAGTCCGCTGGCTGGGCGGCGTCAACATCGCGAATTGTGCGCAGAAGCTGGCGTTTAGGTTCGAGCCAAAGACTTGGGCCTCGGGTCTCCAGTTTCCACTCTCGATTATATAACGATCTGGGCCTGCGGCTCTCAAGTAATAACGGTCACTTTTGCGTGCGCATGCGCAGCCACCAGATTTTTGTGGTTCGGTTTTATATTTTTTTCGTTTTTCTTGCGTTTCTTGACGGCTTTTCGACTGCCGTTTTGAAGACTTGGCCTAAACGCCAGGTGTGCGAGTGCGAATCGCTGGGGACGAGCGCCAAAATGCAACTGTGCTCTGCTCGGGTTTGCCAGCAAACATTTACCGTTTGACTATGGGAAGCTGCGCTGTTCACGCCGACTTCACTGTCGGCGGCGACTGCGGCCGCGGTGTGGCATGCCCCCGCTCCAGCAACAAAGCTAACGGAGAGCCAACGAAAGTGAAAAGGCAGCGGCGGGAAAGGGGACAACAACCACAGCGAACCACAGAGGAGAGATGATGGCCAGCTGAGATGGCGACGGAAAAGGGTAAGTTGGCCCGGCTCAACCCACGTAAATCATTCACCGACGAGCCCACAGCCGACGAAAGTGCCATTACAAAAGAATAAATTAGGCGAGCGCAAATAGTGATTATTTTGGTTTCTTTGCGTCATCAAATAAGACATTAAAACTAATAATACCCCTGTGGGGGCTCACGGATAAAGCACGGAATAATAACTTAAGTTATAAAGACGACTTCATCAGTGGTAATGGAACAGAGCTGATAAGCCAGACATTAATTACTAGCGATATTTATCTATTAATTATATAATTTGGTTCAGAGAAAAGTCTTACTTCGAGTTAAAAAAAAAATACAATGTTGTATCACAACCCGATAACTGAATGCCAATGTTATTTAGTACGTAAATGCTAAATAATTGAGAGCCATTAAAGCCGCGTAGTTGCAGTAATTTTACTTGCTTTTTAATTAATGTATCTGTAAAATTATCATCACAATCAAAGTTATTTGGTTAAAGCTCGAGCCGTGATCGTTATAATTAAGAAATCATTTTTGAGAGCAGCATTGTTCTGTAATTTGTATAGGCGTTCGATAATTGCGATTCCTTGAATGAATATCAGTTTAAGCCCAGTTCAAAAACAAGTTTATTGCATGTGTAAAATTAAGTCACACATGTGGGTCATTACCATAATTATTTATTTAATTTTTTTTTTTTTCCTTTGCATATGAAGCGGGAAATGTATTGATGGCTGTGGCTTCGATTTTGACATTAGAATGAACGAAAGTTGCATAAGGTTCCCGATTCGTGACCCCACCAGCCATTATCCAATCTTATTTAAATGTCCAGTTGCCTATAGGATACGATTCGATCTAATTCGTTTCGATTTTGCTACCCATTCATTTCATTGACGCTTTAAATGCATTTTTTCTGGTTATGAGTGCCATTTAAGTGAGTGATTAACAGCGGGTAGCTATTCAACGCCCGTTTCAATGTAAGATGTCAAGTGATTAGTTTAATTGCGATTAGTTTAAAATATGCGCATAATTCCGGTCTGCCAGCCTGCCTGCCTCAGAGTGAATGATGTGGCGTGCGGCTGGCCAGCCATCCATCGAGTAAGTGAGTGAGTGAGTGAGTGAGTACATTTTTGTATGTGAGTACGAGTTACTTTCGTTTTCATTACGCGATGAAGGCAGCAGCAACTACAACGACTTGAATTCCGTGTTGATGTACAAACTCATAAGTCATGTTGCTTGTTGCTGCTGCAGCAGCAACATACACAAAGCCAATGGGGAAGTTGTTAATGCAACATCAGCAACACCACGCCAACGGCTTAAACCAACATCCACCGGCCAAGAGCAACCACAATGGGAGAAGAAGGCTCGAATCTTGGCTTAAACCAGGAACTCATTGTGGGAATTACCATGATTTTTAAAAGTATTTTTTAAGATGAACCTTTCCTCATAAACAAATAAAAAATAATTAAAGTTATGAATATAATATTTTCCTTTTAATATTCATGGCCAAAAATGTCTTTTGTTTCCATGGTGCAGCTGGAGGGGAAGTTATGTTTGTGCAGCCGATTGATCATTTAAGCCAAGACGCCGGCTGTCAATTTGTTGTGGTGGGCGTTGGCATTTGTCCGGCATCGCAGTTGTTGTTCAATTAAGAGGCGCCGTGCCGTACACGTTCGCCTCACTTGACGATGACGGACGAAGCTGAGGCTGCAGTGGCAGTGGCAGCGGCAGGGCCCATCGGATAATCAAAATCAGAAACTCGAAATTCGAAAATCGCTTGCCCAATCGAGGAGCAACAATTTGAGGAAAACTTCGGTGGGAACTTTCCCGGCGGGTTGCGAAAAAAAAAACACACACACAAAATAAATGATAGAAATAATAATAACAATAATGGCTGTGTGTTTTGGTATTTAATTGAAATCGTAAAAAGCCAGTATAAAAATAAGTTTTTACGCATGCCCCTGGACAGAGATGCGATGACAATCGTCGGAAGCGTTGCGGGTCAACACGGCAACGTGCACTGAGATAAATTTTCGAGTGACTAAGGATTTATTGAAATACTTTCATGACCTATGATTCAAAGTAAAAATTATTGAGTTAATATTTTAAATTTTGAGGATTTTTCGAAAATTAATACAAATTAATAACAGATCTCTTAAATCTTATATCATTATTTCATAAACAAATATTTTATGGTGTTAATGCCACTTTAGATAATACATTCTTTCTAGTAGATACAATAGAAATATTTATTTACTTAACGGAAACCGACTTGCAGAGCATCCTTTGTCGTAAAATAGGTAGATATAGAGAACATTAAATCAGCAATCCCTGCAAATATTTCAAAGTGCACCGAAATAAAATTAAATTAATCTGCATCATTTTTCTCTGTATACAAATTGGTCAAGCACGTAGATCTGCCAGAGTCGGAGTCGGGAGAAATCGAAGTTCGGGACCTTGAATGTGGCCGAGTGCAGGGGCACTGCAATTTCTCTGCTGCAGTTGTAGTGGCCGCTGTTATTCAATGGCAATTGCATCATATTCACAGCAGCAACAGCAGCAGCAGCAGCAACATGTGCTCTGCTAGAGTTCGAGAAACTCGACAATTAGACAAATGGCGCTGGACGGGAAGGCCCAGCCGGAGCGGACAACTTCACCGCTGATGCTTCACAGCTGATCGATATCGGGCATGCAAATGCAGCAACTGCATCTGCATGGTGGCGTATCTGTATCTTAAAGATGCGCGCATTACATTACCACTTTCCACCCGACTGGCGATCAGATGAAAACGAAAGTGCTCCAAGTGGTTAGCCAGCTGCTGCTGCTGCTGCTGCTGTTGGTTGGTGCTGCTGCTGTGGATGTTGCTGTTGCTCCTACCAATGTTGCTGCTGTGTATAGCGAGTCGCACGTTTGCCTCTGCTCAAATTTATCTGCCGTGTGTTTCCTGTATCTCCAAGTTTATGTTTGCCGCTGCTCTTGGCCCGATGTTGCTGTTGTTGCTGCTGCTGCTGCGCTGCCTTTGTGGCAATGGCATGCGAAATGTTTTGCTTTTGCTTGGCTTTTGTCAAACAAAGAGACTCCGGGTCTCTCTCCGACTTGCAGACTTGCAGACAGGCAATTTGACTTTGTCGATGCTCCTATAATTAATTGTTTTATTGTTATTTCATCTAGAGTTGAGCCACTGCCACCAGATGACTACGGATACAGTTGAAGATGTCTATATAGGTGGGGATTGCGCAATTTGCAAACTTTTCGCAGCACAGCAGCCCCGGGGGTAATTAGTTTGACAAACTTTGAAAGCAAATGTTTTTGTCTAGGGTTAATGTACTTATCATGCGGGTCTCACTTTGGCCAACCAACTGGAACCGAAAGTTCTCCCAAGATTCTCGTCGCTGGATTTGGTTCGGAATAGGGTAGCAACACTTTGTTCTGTTTACTTTTCAACTTAATAGTTGTTTACGGCCGGCACTTTAATATTCCCAAACATGTATAATTACCACATTTAGTATATGTATATCTATGTGACTATTATTAAATACTTAGTGATTAGTGGGTATTTTCCTTTTGTCTAGAAGATGGGACATATAAAGGGACCCTCTAACTTTCTATTTTTAATGAAATATATCTAGAAATTTGGATATAAGATTTTAGGAATGGGTGTATTGATTAGAGTCTTAGGATTAGTAAGCCCTTTATAGTTAGTAAAGTCTAAATTTCTTCTTTTCCCCATTCAACTTGTCTTCACGACAGAGTATTTGGCTTTCGTCAAACTCTGGCAATCTTTTATGAGCCTGTGCGGCTCGTACTCGCGCGTGTTTAATTGCAAGCAGCTCAAACAATTAGTGGCTGTTAATGCAATAAATTTGAATTTACGTGCCTCCGTATATTGGTTTTGCCGAGTCGTGCGGAGTTTGCACCGCGGAATGCAATGCCGCCTGTTGATCAACAGGTGTGGGAAGCCCCATAAAAGCATAATCACAGATGAGTACGAGCTCCCATTTGGCCAAGCAACCGAGCTTTCCTCTCGCCCGGCCAGACAATGGCACCGACTGACTAGTAGATGGGACTGGGCCGACTTTCCACCGATGGGCTAACAAGAGCAAGGGCCCCATTGTGTGCCGCCGAGTCGACTCTGGTCCATTCCGATCTCGGAGCACCGGATGGCTTTCAT